AGACTTGTAGGACCTACTTCATAAGGTTATTATGGAATAAGACAGCATAAAGTGCTCAGAGCACTAGTCAAATTCCTGGCACACTGAACATACTTCATAAACACTGGATGCCATTGTTACCTTATGCTCTGATTGAATCATGCTAATGAGAATTTTGACCACTGGCAGGAAAAGTAATAGTAAAAGATTAAAATTTTATGGCTTACCTCTTCTTGGCAATGAGTTGAGGGCCTTTTAGGTCTGCTTCCCAGAAACAAGATGAATGACTCCAACTGAATAACAAACCCTTTTAAAAGTTGGGTCTTTGTTTTTTCAGTAAGATTGAAAGTTATCAGATGGTAAAATCCTTACAAGTAATTTCTGATTACAGATAGCTTGAACATTTGGCATATAACGCGAAAGAAATTTAAAGAATTAGGTGGCATTCCTATGACAAGACCCCTCTGGTCCCTAATTACATCAACGTGGTCTCAGCAATGAGACCAATAAAAACGAAAAACTGGAATAGGACTGTCCAGGATCATCTTATTCTATCAGTACAAAGTATTCATTCACTTCATCTGTCAACATATGAACCAACTGGAAAAAAATCCCCATCCAAGGTGAATTTTCTTTTTAACACTTTACTACTGAAAATTTTAAACATTTACGTAAGTCGAGAGAGTTGTGAACTGGATCCTCACCAGCTTCAACACTTGTGAACATGCTGCTGTTTTTAATTCACAGAGGATTATGGTACCTTTTGTTTTTATGTTTTAGTCATTTCAGGCTGCTGTAGCACATTCCCGCCGCCTGGCCCCCATGGTGGGGAACACTGACGCCAGAATGTGTGTGTCTGCTTCTTTGGGCAGGTTATCTGGAAGTCATGGATGGTTTCTCTGCGCCTGGAACAAGAAACAGTCCTCCCAAGAGAGGTGAGGAACAAGCACACACATTCCCTGCTGAACAAGCAGCAGTGGGGCAGGGGGGTGGGGGGGACGACACTCAGGGGGTGCATGCGGCAGTGTCAAGTTGTCTCAGGCACCTGCGGCTGCTCCTTCCTCCCTCTTGGCACTAGAGGCCCGGCTGGTGCATGTGAGGGAGCCCAGGGGTTTGCAGCAGCCCCCGCAGAGCTGTGGTGCAGCCATGGGGCCTCCTGTCTTGGGGCCACATGGTCAGACACTCTTCTTACTCTATCCCGGGAGTGTCCCAGAGTGGAACCCATGAAGGGTGCATTGATTTGTTCACTCATTTAAACGTGTCTGCTATGTGGTCAGAAACAGCTTTAGGCTCTGGAATAGGAAATGAATAAAGCAGCCTGCTTCTATGGTGTTCAAAGGCAGAGGGGAGTGGATTCTAAAATGAAGAGTGAGTTTCTCAGGGTGGCCCGGCACTCAGGGCATGCGGTAGACTGGTCCGTAGCAGCTGGCTTACGCCCTCAGGTGCAGGTGGAGCCTGGGAGCCTTGTGGGGTCAGAAAGTCTGCCTGGGGCTTGAGATGCTATACTCTCCAACAAGTGAGGATGCAAGGGAGGGGCGTCTTGGTAGCTAAGGGGACAGCCACGTCGGTAGGAAACAAGGGCACAGAGGTGGTGGTGGAGGCAGCATGTGTGTGTTGGACACAGAAAGGAGCCCCAAGGAAAGGTTGGATGGTCCCAAAGCACAGGTCCTCTTGGATGACTCAGGTCCACAGCAGTGCCATCCCTAAACGACCCCCACTGGTGACACCCATGCTGGTCCCTCATGCCATAGTTGCTCACAAGGCATCAGGGAGCTGGGGTTCTGCGGGTCCTGTACCCCAACAAAGGCACAGCCTTGCCAACAGTGTCAAGCTGGTAGGTCTTTGCCAATCTGCGGTAAATGCCTATAGAAAGAAAAGTCACAGAACAAACTCGTTAAGTTCTCACAAGGTTCTTCGAGTGTAGCTACCCTTCTGGATAGCGGAGGATCTCTGGTCTGTGAAACTTCTAGTCTAGAAATTGGTTGACGGGGCCATGTCTCTCTGAGGGTTGAGGGTTGCTCAAGTCGGGCCTGTATTCACAAGATCTGACATAGGGTTTAACTATGCAAACCAAGCAAAGATCTAGTGGGCAGTTTATCCTTTTCAGCCCCAGGCACTTGGTGATCAGTCACCCCCCGAGTTATCTGGGGGAGGGCCATTCTGATTGCCTCACTGGCCCTTCTGCCTGCTCTGGTCAGCTTCCCGGCTTTGCCACTAAACTCCTGGCTCTTCCTTTCCCATTTAAAGCCAGGGTGCCTGTACTAGGTTCCTATGGCTGCTGTGACAAATGACCACAAGCTTAGTGGCTTAAAAACACAGAAATCTATTGTTGCAGTTCTGGAGGTCGGAGCCCACAGTCAGTGTCTACAGGGCTTGCTCCTGCTGGAGACTCCAAGGGACAATCTGTTCCTGGCCTCCTCCAGCTTGTGGGGGCTGCAGGCTTCCTTGGCTTGTCACAGTATCTGCACTTCACCTTCTCTTCTGACTACCTACGTGTAAAACCCTTCCCTGCCTCCCTCACCTGCACAGCCCAGGAGAGTCTCCCCATCTCAGATCCTGAATTTAATCATGTCTACAAAAACCCTTTTCCTCCCCATATAGGGTAACCTTCACAGGTTCCAGAGACTAGGATGTGGCCACCTCTTGGGGCCATTTTCCAGCCGACTCCAGAGCCCACTTCGCGATAGGAATTTTTGGCATCTCAACCTCATTTGGCCACTGAGTTTAGGCTCCTAGTAACAAGTTGCACCAACAAGTGGAATCTCTCCTTTGTTTAAACCAACACAGTATCTATAAATTCAGCCCAACTCAGTATTATTTTATTCTGTAGACTCCTACACTCAGAATCCATTCCTCCATGTGTTCCTCTCATTTTTGCTGACATGAATTAGTAAAGGACTGGGTTCTTTTCGTGTGGAAGCCGTCTTCCCTACATCGACTTTGTTATTGGCTAATTCAGGTCTGAAAACAGTGGTGCGGCGGGGGGAGCATAAGAAAATCTGCTTCCTTGGGGAAGGAAGGAAGGAAAGAAGGGCATGGGAGCATCGGTGGGGTGTGAGTGTTGGTGAGCCCAGTGTGCTCCGAGTCTTTCAAAAACTCCTAAATACCTCCATTCTGGTACAGAGGCCATTCTTTCCACATTATTGAACCAACTTTCACATTTTGTGGCTATTTCAACCCTGTGACTATACGACAGTTTATTTTACCACTTGCATAGCAACTCCCAGGTCTGATGTTTTAAGAATTTAGATGTCTTGTTTGCTGTTCACATTCCAATTCAGTGCTGTTAGAAATCGCCATCCTATGCCACAATCTTGCACTCTTTTTGCCTTTTACACAGTTCCATGGTGGTGGGAATGTGATTTCCGCAAACCTGACCCACAATGGATAGATTCCAGGTGACCACAGGTGATCAGCCATTTCCCACCACAGGGCTGGGCTGCCAGATTCTTATTCCTGGATATTAACGGTATTTCTCCTCACGCCAGTGTAACTTCTTTCCCCAGATTTCCTTGTGTTAGTGTCGCCTGTAACTTCCTGTTTATCCATTTTCCTTTGGAGTTCTTGGTTTTAAGCAACAGAAATCAATCCTAGCTGAGTTAAGCAGAAAAGGGAAATCACTGGAAGGATCTCAAGTAGCCCAGAGAATGAAAAAGATGAGGCTCAGAACCAACGGACAGGGTGGGACGCAGGAAGCCACACTGGGCCCCTGGGGAAGCACCACTGCCCTCCCACTGGGTGCCATTATCACCACCACCACCTCATGCTGCTGCCTTGGGTGGCCCCAGATTGTGCCTCACCTCTGCATCATTCCTGAACCAGGGTCATGGGGCTGAGCTCTGACTTCCTGTTGCCAGGGGTAAGGGATCCCAAAATTTATTCCTTCCAAATAGATCAGTGTCCTTGGGGAGAAGATGATTAAAAAAAAACAATCCATGTTTCCTGTCCACACCTTATTTTGGTCCTTAGGCCAGGAACTATTATAATTGTCTCTTTGTCCACTTATGTGGATTTCCCCGGCAAACAGAGAGCTCAGTATCAGCAAAACTCTTGTGCTTCGTAACCAGAGCATGCAGCATCTGTCCCCGGCATGACATACACACCCAGAAAAGTGTATCTTCATTGAAGGAAATGAAGTAGGGGTATAGGGTATAGGGCTGCCCTGGGCAGGTGAGGGTGTTTGTGGAGTGAAAGGGAGAAGATGCGGCCCTGTCCCTTATTCCTAGAGGGTAGAACCTGTAATTCACCTCTTAGAAGCAGCAAAAGAGGGTTACTGAAATGTGTATTAAATGGAAATGCTTAGGTTCCAGGAAGACTTGGAGGACTTCATATTTTTCTAAATATTTGTGGGTTTTTTTTCAAGATTTTTATTTATTTGAGAGAGCGAGCGCGTGCACACATGAATGAGTGGAAGGAGAGGCAGAGGGAGAAGGATAAGCAGACTGCGCTGAGAGCAGAGCCCGAATCGGGGCTCAAGCCCCAGGACCCTGAGATCATGACCTGAACTGAGATCAGGAGTCAGACTCTTAACCGACTGAATGACTCAGGCACCCCTAAATATTTCTTGTTTAACTAGCAAAGTTTCAAGAGGAACCATAGCTTTACCACATTACAACCTATCAGTTGGTTCTACATTACAACTTCAAGCCTTCGGGTTGTTTCTTTGCAGCTATTTATAAAAGGAGGTCATGGCTGTGCACTGGCGTGGCCTCTGGTTCTTACAGGAAACACGGTGGGGTGAAGAGGATCTCTCGAGGCCTCAGAACCACCTGGAAGATGAGAGCTGGGCCCTAAATTACCACAAGTTCTTAGGCAGCGCTTGGGAATGTGCATTTCTAACAAGCCCCCCAGGAGCTGCTGGGGGTGGGGTTTCACACTTACTGCTGGGCAAGCAGTGGGTTTCCTTGGGGTGAAAGCTTTCTCACACATTCACACAAAACCAAACCTGTCCATCAGGATCAGATTTGACAGCAAGTAACAGACACAGTCACTAAACAGCTTCAACAACAAGGAATACCCCTTCACCCAACAGGAGTCCACAGGGGGTGGGCTTTAAGGGTGAGCCGGTCCCGCGGTTCTACCACTGCAGTCAGGAGCATGGGGTCTGACTCCCCTTGGGCCTCCTTGGCCACATACGGCACAGAGTGGGTCTGCCCTGTCGCCTCTCTGCACTGACCAGGGACAGCCAACCCTGCACAGGCCCGGAGCAGACTGGCTGTGCCTGGGGGCGGCACTGATCAGACGGGGGCAGGCTGCCAGGGATTCTGTTCACAAGAAAGCAGGTGACAGGGGTCACAGGGCTCCCTGGCAGAGGAGACAGAATACATATCAAGTGTCTATTACATTACTTTAGGTGACAGTTTTTGCCTAGAATAGTGAATCTTTCCATGTTATGTTTATGGCAAGATGACTGTGAAAACAGATTAGTCCTGGATTACAAAGAGCCTAATGGAGGAGACTTAAATTTTTAAAAAAGTTGTTCCTTTGAGGATCTGACAAAAGCTTAACAGAGACTATAGACCAGTCCACAGAAGAAAAAACTGTATGACCTGCTTATCGCTAACATGGTGAGACTAAGCTAGGGAGCCCGTGGATGGCCAGAGCAGCAGCAGCGTCACAGGACCACTCAACGTGGATCTCAGGTGAAGGGTTCCTGATCGATCTAGGGGGTCCGGTTCTGCCATTTATGACCTGGAAGACTTGAGAAAGACCCTACCTTTTCGGGGTTTCAGCGCCTTGTGTGTTTAAGGAAGGGTGTGAGCCCTGGGAAGTCAGGGGCAGTCTACTTTGCTCACTGCTGTAGGCTGGACACCTACAAAAGTGCCACCTTCCCACACAGGCGTTCAGTGCAGATGTGATGAATGAATGAATACACGTCCCAGAGTGATAAAACTGCCTTCAAAGAGCTGCTGTTGGACTAAACGTGAAGAATGTCGTTAAGGTGAGAGTCTATCAATTCAACGAAGCAAAGTTGGATGGAATTCCTTAATGTGACCATCTTTTCAGTGGGAATATGGCTTTATTCCCTTTGTGAAGAAGCCCAGGAACTTTTAAAATCAAGTGACTTCTTTTGAGAGTGGGTGGGATCGAGTTGGCCTGTCATAACCTGGTCTGTCTCTCTCGCTGATATTTAGGTCAGATGTGGAAAGTGTTTGGGAAAGAAGTATTGGATTATTCTCTGAATTTCTGTCAGGGAAAATTTGATGTTAGTTGGCATGCCTGACAACATAGTCCTACAGATCTTCTGTTTTCTTGATTTGGATGATATTGGACAGCTGTTGAAAACCTGCAGAAAAATCCCAAAAGGTAAGGCCTTAAAAAATACATAGGTGTATTTTTTACTGGTAAATATTACACAGAATTTCAAAGAAAAAGGGCATGATTTAGAAAACCTTAACTTCGTATGATGACAAACACTGGATCTGGGCAATGATAAAATATGTTTTACTTACAGCCTCAGAAACTGGTTAAGTTACTGCTCAAGAGGAAAAAGTAGCACAACAGAGAAAATGATAAAGTGGTTATTTGTAAAACAGAAGGTCAGCAAGTATCATAGGCAAACCTATTCTAGCAAAAGGAAATCCATCATGCTGCATGTCAAGGCAAATGGTGTTAACACACATATTAAAGAAAATGTTAAAAAACAGTACTAATATAGTTTCTACTTGAACTTAAGCAAACACTAAAAACAGAAAAAGAAATTGCATGGAAATCCCTAAATGCTGGTTTCACCAGTGTCCTTCAATGAGAAACTTGGCAATTTAACAAAGACCCCGAGGGAAAGAATTAGTTTTCAAATTCCTCATTTTACATATATTATTTCAGGTATTTGTATATATTTGGTAGTAAGTTTTGAATTCATTTGGAATGAGAAGCAATGAAAATCTATTTTTGTACATAATCATTATTTAAAAATTAGAAAACAACTAAAAACCATCTTAATCCTACCTGCAATTACTATTAAATTGTGGTATATTTCCTGTATTTTTCCTAAAAGCTTGAGTATTTTGTATTTGTACTTCTTAACCTCCACTGGTTTGTTCTCTGTACTTAGGAGTCTGTTTCTGTTTGTTTTTTTAGACTGTACATATAAGTGAAATCATTTGCTTTTTCTCTGACTTATTTCATTTAGCATAAATACCTTCTAGGTCCATCCATGCTGTGGCAAATGGCAAGCTCTCATTCCTTTTTGGTGCCTGAGTAATATTCCATCATGTGCGTGTGTGTGTGTGTGTGTGTGTGTGTGTGTGTGTGTGTGTGTATCACATCTTTTTTTTTTTTTTAAGATTTTATTTGACAGATACACAGCAAGAGAGGGAACACAAGCAGGGGGAGTGGGAGAGGGAGACACAGGCTTCCCACCGAGCTGGGAGCCTGATGCAGGGCTTGATCCCAGGACCCTGGGACCATGACCTGAGCCGAAGGCAGACGCTTAACGACTGAGCCACCCAGGCACCCCTATATCACATCTTTATCCATTCATGGATGGACACTTGAGCTGCTTGCATATCCTGGCTATTGTAAATAATGCTACAATAAACAGAGGGGTACATCTATCTTTTCAAATTAGTGTTTTCGTTTTCTTTGGTAAAATAACCAGCAGTGGAATTACTGAATCATATGGCATTTCCATTTTTTATTTTTTCAGTAACTTCTGTACCATATTCCATAGTGGTTGCACCAATTTACACTCCCACCAATGGTGCACGAGGGTTCCCTCTTCTCCACATCCTCTCCAACACTTGTTATCTCATCTTTTTGATTCTAGCCATTCTGAACAGGATGAGGTGATCTCTCATTGAGGTCTTAATTTGAATTTACCTGATGATTGGTGAGGTTGTGCATCTTTTCATGTATTTTATTTTTATTTTGTTTAAGATTTTCTTTATTTATTTGACAGAGAGAGAGACACAGCGAGAGAGGGAACACAAGCAGGGGGAGTGGGAGGGGGAGAAGCAGGCTTCCCACGGAGCAGGGAGCCCAAAGCGGGGCTCGATCCCAGGACCCTGGGATCATGACCCGAGCCAAAGGCACTTAACGACTGAGCCACCCAGGCGCCCCTTCATGTATTTTCTTTTAAAGATTTTATTTGTGAGAGAGAGAGAGAGAGAGCACCAGCAGGGGGAGCAGCAGAGGGAGAGGGAGAAGCAGGCTCCCCGCTGAGCAGGGACCCCCCCCCCCAACGTGGGGCTCGATCCCAGGACCCTGGGATCACGACCCAAGCCAAAGGCAGACGCTTAACCAACTAAGCCACCCAGGTGTCCCCTTTTCAAGTATCTTTTGACCAGCTGTATCTTTGGGAAAATGTCTCCTCAGGTCTCCTGCCCATTAATGAAATTGTTTGGTTTTTTTCAGAACTGTTTATATAATTCTTTATATATTTTGGATATTAACCCCTCATCAGATATGTCATTTGCCAAGTATCTTCTCCTGTTCTGTAGGTTGCCTTTTTGTCTTGTTGGTTGGTTTCCTTTGCTGTGCAGAAGCTTTTCATTTTGGTGTAGTCCCAAGAGTTTATTTTTGCTTCTGTTTCCCTTGCCTGAGGAGATGCATCCACAAATACGTTCCTAAAGCTGATTTCTACGAGATTACTGCCTATGTTTTAGGAGTTTTATGGTTTCAGGTCTCACAGTTAGGTCTTTAATCCATTTGGAGTTTATTTCTGTGTGTGGTGTAAGAAAGTGGTCTGGTTTCATTTTTCTGCCTGCAGCTGTCCAGAACCCAGCACCATTCACTGGGGAGATCATCTTTTCCCCACTGAGTATTCTTGCTTCCTTTGTGGTAGATTAACCGACCCTATACTTCCACATCGGTACACATCTTTTCAGACATTTTCTAGCACATACAAACATCCAGTGTGTTTAAACTACTATAGCACATCATGCACTTCTAACTTTGTAACACACTGTGGACATTTCAGCGTCATTATTCTGCCAGCCAGCCATCTCCCATCTCTCCTGTTACGGCAGGGTGTAGGGAGGGACAGCTGGTGTGCTTACTCTCTGTACCTGTGCGGGTCTGTCTGTAGGATGTCATGTTAGGAGTTCAAATGCTGGCCGTGAGGATATTTCCATTTTATGTTTTGATGTGGCAGTTTTGCCTGAGGAATTTTCTTTATAACAAAGGAACGACCAAATCTTGTTGGGATGATCCAGGAGACGGGAGCCACCACTAGGTTCCTTCCTGCACCTTCTCAGTCCTCGGGTTTCCTGGGACAGGCCTGTCTCAGTCAGCTCCACCACCATTAACAAAATACCACAGATGGGCAGCTTCAGACACAGATACTTATTTCTCACAGTTCTAGAGGTTGGAAGTCCAAGATCAAGGTGCCAGGTGTTTTGGTTCCTGGTGAGGCCTCCCTGACTTGCAGATGGGCACCTTCTGGTATCTCCTCTTACAAGAACACTAATCCTATCAGATCGGAGCCCCATCCTTATGACCCCATTTAACATTGATTACTTCTTCATTCCAGATACAGCCACACGGGTGGGGGATGGGGGGGTAGGGTTAGGGCTTCAACATGTGAACTCTGTGGGGACAAAGTTCAGTCCATAGCAAGACTTGAGTCTGAATATCATGGTTTCTACCATCTGTGAAGACATCCAAGAAATGCCAGCAGTTTGGTACCCAAACATCTCCTACATTGCCCCTCACAGTCTGGTACCCAGACATCTCCTACATTGCCCCTCACACCCCAGAGTGTCAAATCAGTTGCTCTACTTTTTGGTTCAGAAAAGTATGGTCCCAGTGATGTAGGAAATGGCTACTTTATGCAAGTGTAACCAGGTAATTATATGTAGGCACAAAGCTCTCAGTTTGGCACCTTGACATGACAGTAATTTCTACCATGACAATAATTTAAATTGTTTTACTAAAAATGCTATTATTGTTGAAAAATGCCATTCCTCTATGGGACAGACAACTTTTATTGCTTTATGATACGAAGTTATTAATGTAATTATTTTTTCCTTTAGATGTGTAACAGTGAAGAATTTTGGGAGAAATTTAAAACATTACACGATAAACATAATTTTGATACAAAGATAAGGAGGAGCACTTACAAGAAGCTATTAGCTTTCCACCAAAATGCAGCCCAACAGAAGCTTAGAGAAGACAGCATTTTTCTAAACTTCACTGAAGTGACAAAATTTAAAAAATAAAGATTTAAAACAATTTTCATACAACAATTACTATCATTAGTCCTTCCTATAGCTGGGACTGTGTTGAAGCAATTAACTGGTGAATTTAAGTAGGCTAAAAAACCCTCGACTTTGAATACGGTTCTGAAAATAAACTTATTTTCTCTCATTTCTCTTTTGCTATTAATTAACACAGATCAAATAGATCAAATACCTACTTAATTCTCCACTTTAATCTCTGACATGTCCTTAATTTTAAAGATAGGAAGAAGAGAATAGAAAACAAATCTACTTAAAGTGGAGATAATTCTCTCTCTTTTCATCAGCGTTTAGAAGATAGATACAAATGAGAATTCCGTGACAGAGGCGAACATGAACGATCATTTCTCATGGTGTGATGTGAAGAAGCTCACGCTCTTCACTCTCCGGGTCCTCTCCATGTGCAGAAGGACTGTGGCCAGAAGGGCCACCAGGCCACAGCCACACACCCTGCTGTCCCTGTGGAGATCTGGTCAGAGAACCTGTTGCCTCATGAGCTGCCTCACCTTCCCCCGAGGGTCTCACTGTCATTCGACTCATGAAGTGGGAGATGATCACTCGGTAAGCACTATTATCAAGCAAGTGAAAACTTGTTTCCAAAGATGTAAATGAGATTCTTCAAAGTGCCTACTTCATGTCAGATTTGAGGAATTACTTCAGTCAACTGGTGTTTATATTTTACTGGCAAGACTGAGATCCATTAGAATACTGATAATGTTCTGCTTTGCTATGTTCACGTTTAAATATAATTATTAAAATTATTAGAGAGCTGAATAAAACCAGATTGGGATCTAAAATGAGAAACAATAGAAAAAAAAGGGGGGGGGCGCCTGGGTGGCTCAGTCGTTAAGCATCTGCCTTCGGCTCAGGTCATGATCCCAGGGTCCTGGGATGGAGCCCCGCATCGGGCTCCCTGCTCCGCGGGAAGCCTGCTTCTCCCTCTCCCACTCCCCCTGCTTGTGTTCCCTCTCTCGCTGTCTCTCTCTGTCAAAATAAAATCTTTAACAAAAAAGAAAGTTTTGCAAAGCAAATATAGAAGGCAAACCAACAGGTGGCCAGCCCCACGCCAAACCCTCGGTCACACTGAGCACTGCAGTCCCTTCCTGTGATGTGGACTGCAACTCCCAAGGGGTATGTCCATGTGAAGAATATTCTTTCCTAACATTTCTACCATTTCTTAGACATGTGATAATCTCAGAAACCTTTTTTTCTGGCTAATTAGTAATAAAAACTTTACAAATATGAAAGCGGCTTGACTTTGCCAGCAACAGGTGCTAGACATCTCTAAACCTGTTTCCTAGTTTTATGAAAGGGAGATCATGTATGTCCTGCCCAACCAATCTTATAAAAATGAGTCTAAGTCAAAACTGGGAAGTGTGTATGGAAGTGTTTTATACCAAGGTAACCCATTATACAATGTATTATTTTAAATCAGTAATCTCAAAGTGACTTCTGAGAAGCCCTGGGGGCAGATCTCAGGAACCTTTCGAAGGGTGTAACTACTTTTTACTTATTTTCTAGCTTTACTGAGGTATAACTGACAAATCTGTAACATTTAAAGTGTACAACATACTGATTTGTAAAATGCATACATTATGAAAGGATTCACACTGTTACAGCATCACCTCACACATTTACTTTTTTTGGGGGTGAGAAAATTCTCTCTTAGGAAATTCCAATTATACAATAGAGTGTTATCACCTACAGTCACTACCTTGTACATAAGATCCTTGACCTTAATCTTATAACTGAATAACCCATGACTTTCACTAACCTCTCCCTATTTCACTCATACCCTAGTCCTGGCAGCCACCATTTTACTGTTTCTAGGAGTTTGATTTTTTTTTCCACACTGTACATATACACTATTCGTCTTTTTTGTCTGGCTTACTTCACTTTGCATAATGTCCTCCAAGTTTATCCACATTGTTGAAAATGGCAGGGTTTCCTTTTATGAAGCTGCATAATATTCTATTTTCTTTATCCACCCCTCCATTGTGGACACTAAGGCTGTTTCCATACCTTGGCTACTGTGAATAATGCTGTGACGAACATGTGAACAGATGTGATTCCACTCCCTTTGGATCTGTGCCCACAGTGGCACTGCTGGGTCATATGGTAGTTCTATTTTTAATTTCTTGAGGAACCACCACACTGGCATACCATAGTGGCTCTACTACTTGGCATTCCCACCAGCGATGCACAAGGGTTCTCTCTCCTTCACATCCTTACCAAGACTTGCTCTCGTCTTTCTGATTTTAACCACTCTGACAGGTGTGAGGGTATCTCCTTGGGGTTTTGATTTGTATTTCTCTGATAAGTAGTGGTGTTGAGCACCTTTTCACGTACCTGTTGGCCATCTGTGATGTTCTCTTTGCAAAAATGTCTATTTGGGTCTTTTGCCCCTTTTTATTGGTTTTTTTTTTTTTTTTTTTTGCTGTTGGGTTGTAAGAGTTCCTCACATATTTTGGTTATTAACCCCTTATTAGGTATGTTGTATGAAGATATTTTTTTCTCTCCATGGGCTGCCTTTTCATTTTTCAAATGGGTTCCTTTCATGTGAAACTTTTTAGTCCAATGTAGTTCCATTTGTTTATTTTTACTTTTGTTGCCTTTGCTTTTCATGTCATATACAAAAAATTATCGCCAAGACTGGTGACAAGGATCGAATCCTCTGTTTCCTTCTAGGAATTTTATGGTTTTAGGTATTATGTTCGAGTCTTCAGTCATCTTCAGTCAAAGCCCAAATGAGCAGTGAGAACACAGTGAGATCCAGCCTGATCTAAGTAGGAGTCAGCAAACTACGGTCCACAGCCAAATATGGCCTGCTGCATGTTTTTATAAATAAAATTTTATTGGAACACGGCCCTGCCCATTCATTATGTATTGCCCAATGGCAGAGTTTATAAGTTGTAACAGGGACCAGAGAGTCTGCAAAGTCTAAAATAGTTACTACCTACCCCTTTTCCATCAGGGCTGGCTGTGCTGGGTCACACGGACCTCACTAAATCACAGCAAGTTCTTCTCACCCCTCCCCTGCCAAATTCTTGGGAGTTCCCGAGTCAAGAGCAAGAGCACAGCAGTGCCATGGGACGGACTATATGTCCAATAGTCAAACATCTTTAATGATAAATGAGTAATTCTCAGGTTTGTTTTTTCTAAGATTTTATTTATTTGAGAGAGAGAGAGAGAGAGAGATAGGTTCTTTTCTTTGTTGGGAGTTCCTCCTCCTAGTCATTCTGTTGAGGGGTGGTTGAGGGAATGTACAGAGTCCTAAATATCAACCAAAATCCAGGCAAGATGCACCCTCGAAACCGTGCTTGTGGAGATCCAGGTATATATTCTGGATATATAATATTATATATCCATATATAATAATTGTGGATATTCTGCTTGTGGAGATTCAGATATATATTCCTACACCTCAGGCTGATTTCGTGGGTGTTCAGAATGGTCTGGTAGATATCCAGCTAAATTCAGGGGACTGGTTGAATCAGAGTCCCCTACTCCTCTGCCATCTTGCCTCCTCCCGAGAGAGACAGAGATAGGGAGAGAGCGCACAAGCAGGGTAGGAGGACAGAGAAACAGCCTCCCCGCTGACCAGGGAGCCCAATGTGGGGCTCGATCCCAGGACCCCAAGATCATGACCTGAGTAGACAGACACTTAACTGACTGAGCCACCCAGGTGCCCCAAATTCTCAGTTTTTTTGATAAACATTTCATATTTAGTAAGGAATAATCAACAAAATACTCAGGTAATTAAAGCTACATTTTGAAAAGCAATATTTTATTATGTAAAATTTGACATAGGAAAAGTACCATAACCTGGACTTCCAAATCCACAGCAACTAAAATTATTTAATATGTGGTCCAAAGCATAGTGCCAAAAATACATTAATGTTTAAAAATTTCACTAACATTAAAAAATACTGTGAACGCATAATTACGGAAAGCTCCATTAAGTCCTTTAAAAATAAAACTGCCTCAGAATGCAAAAAGGAAAACCCCAGATGCTGTACCTGTTATCCCTGTCCCCAAATAATGCCCTTATGTTATCTCAGCAGCCCTTACATAACACTGGTTATACACCATGAGCAGCACATCCATCAAAAGACTGTGAAAAAAGTCAGTGGCCAAATTGCTGAAGGGTCAATACTTAAAGCCATAGAACTTCACATAGTGGTAAGGCTCCTGTCCTAGGAGCTACAGCACAGAGATGTCAGAATGCTCACGACAGCATAGGTGTCTGGATCACCAGCCTACAATGGCATGAGAGCTGCTCCCTTCCCTTTTTTAAACTACAGCTCATACACACGCGTGATCCGGATCCCGACAGATCACTTACAGATGTGTAGAACGCAAAGTACAGGTTATTCCTAAAACATGTTTCAACGTGCTTCACACAGTCCACACTGGTATAATACTAATTTTCTTCCCTGTTTTAATCATATCTTTCTACTTTTCAAAAAAGATTACTTGTTCTGTTTTGGCTAAACAGTATATACTAGTTTGTACTAAAAACAGTAAAATCTATGACAACTTTTCAATTTTTTAACAGGTTGCTTCTTTCTTAAGAATGATTTCTAGATGTTTCTATGCCACACGTATATTTCTAGTTTCTGATTTCTTTAAAAGGAGTAAATGCACCTTGCGGGTTATACTCTAGGCTAATTGATACATTTCTGGAACGCCCTCTCTAACCCACAAAATGCTGAATGGGAGCTTCCCGTCAAACGTGCACGCTGACTCACCCTGCCTCTTCACTCTGCTGGGAACCGGACCGTCCCAAATCTTCAGCCTCACCCCTGCTTCCATCACGGCCCTCCATAGAGATCCCCCCGGCAGTCTCTTGTGCTCGGATGCGAGCTCCTGGCTGGTACAGCTGCAAGGCTGGCCGATCCTGCCGGGACAGAGGGGTGCGTTACCCTTCCAAAGGCTGGCAATACAGGAGGGAGCAAAATGTCTCTACTTCCAGAGTCTGATGATCCTCATTATCTAAAGCAAATCAGTCTTACAGCTAAAAATCTGCCTTTTTCAGCACCATCTCAGAAACCAGGCATTTTGAGGTAAAAAAAAAAAAAAAAAAAAGCCATGAAAAGGAAGACAGTTAACATTTAAAATAACTTGAAAGAAGGTAAAATTAGTATCTGGGAAAATGTTACGCTCAAACCCGGAACACCCCCAGAGCCAGTAGAACCATGGCATTCCCCTCCCAGGTGGAGAGATGAAGACTTACACACACATCTCAGCCCCTCCAACTCACCAGGCAGGGTAAACACGCAGCCTAAGACAAAGCAAGGCATAGCCCCTCAGAGGTGGCTTTTTAGGGTCATGAACCAAATAGTTAATAAGATCTGTAATGAGCACTTTCCATGTGGGTTATTCCTGAACTGTCCTCTTCATCTGATTAAACTCTCAGAGGTGGAAGAACACAACAATGCTTGAATAAAGTGTGTAAGATACTACTGAACTGCTTCAGGAAACTAGGATGGTGAGGCCAGTGAAGGACCAAGGGATTCTGAAGGTTAGGGATCAGGAGCAACAGTGGGAAGCCAGCCAGCTCTGCCCTGAAGGAGAGGGGGACCAACAAACCCCTGGCTCAGGGGAGCCGCCTGCACCTGTACCCCTTCCTTGGCCACCTGGGGGCCCTGGCACATCCCGCACGGTATGTTTCTGCAGGGCTCACCAACTCACATTTACCCACTCCCAGGCCCCACAGTCACCACCAGGACATTTATTGGCATGCCCTTTTCCTTAGCGGAAGCCTGGCCAGTGAAGAGAGTGGGAAAGGGCTGGGCAGGCACCGTGGGTCTGAATCCCTGTGCACACAGAGGTGCAGGGCTCCCATGCCACTTCCTGCCTGAGGCCAACACGCACGGTCCTGCTTTTCACCAGGGCAACACTGGTGTGCACAGACAGTGTAAGGACACTGTAACCAGCCAGGCCTCATACAAAAGGTGCCATCATGCACAAGGCACCTTATTACCCCAGAGCATCAGTTAATTGAGAGGAGTCCCAACACCTAAAGCTGTGTAAATACAGATCACTCACTGTCGCTACATCAAAAGCCAGCTGAAACACAAGTGTTCATGAAACAACCCCCACCAAAAAGACCCATGGCTATACCTGCTGTACCTGAGGTTAAGGTAACTACAGAAACCTCTGAATAATACACATGTGGTTAGTCAAAGGTACAGATGAGAAGGCTCCCCTCTTGCCGGTAGCTCTGCCTTGCCTTTACTGGAAACATTTTAAAAATTCACATCACTGATACCAGCAACACCTTGGGTGGATCTGAAGGGAATTCTGCTGAGTGAGACAATCTAAGGTCACACACTGTGTGCTTCCACTTCTAAAGCACCCTTGAAATGACAAAATCAAGCAGACAGAGGACAGTGTGTCTGCTGAGGTCAGGGACGGGGTGGCAAGTGTGTGTGGACCGCAGCCCGGGGAGCCTTGGTCCCCTCAGTCATCGGGTAGCCGGGCGGTGGGGAACTGGCTGGCACCATGGGGCCTGGCCCTGGAAGGGAAGGGACCCCATTAATATTGCTTCTCTGCAACAAAGTGATCTGAATAAAAATTAACATCAAACTCTCGGGAAAAAAAAACCATTTATTGGTCTAAATGGGCAATTCCAACCCTGTGTCGACTGTGCAGATCTGACAGGTATTTATGAGCCATTTGACTATCTCCTAATAATCAGTATGTTATTAGTAATATAAGAAAAAGCTCCACAGAGTATCATGAAATGCAAGCTCTTGGGTGGTGCACTCCCTAAGAGCGAAGGGCCAGCGGGGGTGGAATTCCCACTGTCAGAGTGTGTGATCTGAAATATCAAGACACCTAATGTAGATTTCTCTGTTTTGGCTAAACAAAGTAACTTTTGTTTGGCAAAGCAGGTGTAAGCCTGCAGACCTGTAGTTTCTACTTTTAGGGTTGATGAATGAATGAATGAATGAATGAAAAGAACCTTGTTTCCTGGGCGTTCCGCTTTGGGTGCTGGGCTGCCTTCACTCCTGTGCTCTCTCCCAGGCCACTCTGCTGCCTCCACAGGGATGCCACTGTCCTGGCTCCCCTTCTTCCCTCTGTCTGAGAGGACTCCTTTCCCCCATTTCAGCTCTTCTTCGTTTCTCCTTGAAAACTTGTCAAACTCACAGTGAGCTCTGTGCTTTCTGCTGTCATCCATGTGGCATCTTTGTGTTTCAGGCTCTTTTTCTCGAAATCTCCTCTCCATCTCCCTTTGCTCTTTATCACTGTCATTCTGCAACCTGTGATTCAGTACAAATTCTCAGTAACCTTAGGTATACTGCTTGTAGAGTACCTATCTTCTCGTCCAGACCACAAGTTCCAGAAGAGGCAGGGAATACCTAAGTCTGCTCATCAGCACACTGCAGGCATGCCCGTTAACGGGCACAGCACAGACATTCAAGAAAAAATTGCTGAAAGATGAATCGACAACAGTAACGACAGCATCTACCGTTAAACCTGAATGACATACATAATAAGCATATATACTTAGTTTTCTAATTCTCAGTAACCCCCCAAAGCAAATATAACTCCCCCCTTTACAGATAAAAGTACAGGAGACCAAAGTGCTCATGTGACTTTCCTAGTGGCCCAGGTCCATGTCCATCATGACAAAGAGTTGATACTGATGGCTTGGTTTCTGCTTCGAGTGCAGCTGAAATTAATTGAAATTTACTAATTTTTATACATATATTAAACTGATAAATGCATAATAAATAAATACGTCGCTGCTAAGCTCCTTTAGTTCTTAAAGTCTTTTCCTTCACAACCCACATGTAAAAGTCCTCACATGCTGTCTGTGGTTTCCCCACAAAACAGAAGCAGCAGGATTGGTGGGGAGAAAAAGATCTATAAGCAAAGTGTGAATTCATGCCAGAAACATGACAAAAGGCACTGCTGTTATCATAAGCAGTAATACAAACACCTCTAACAGAAACCACAGTGCTAACAGATCATAGATTTCATAATCATGTATAAATTAATTTTATAAACAAACCAATAAACCAGAACCCCAAAAAAGAGGGAAACTTTTTTTTTTTTAATCACAACTCTGTGTGGAAGAAAGACAGTAAGAGGTCATTCAGATTGCTGTGTTTCTGGGCAAACGGCAGCCTAATGCCATGACCCTGCCATCTTGCCTGCAAACGTAAATTCACTTCCAGAGACCTCAGAAGCAGAGCAGCCCTGGGCTCCAGGAAGCTCCAGGAGTGTCCTGATGCAGTGCATGCACAGGAGCCCTGGGCCAGGGGAATAAGAAGCCTAGATACTCCCCATTGACTGTATGGAGATGACCAAACCTTGACGAAGCTCAGGGGCAGGAGGGAGGGGCTCCCACCTGACAAGGTTCTGGCGGGTTTCTCCGGCCCCTGTGCAGAGACGGTGTCTATCCCATTCCCACAGAAGCCCTGCTTCAGCTCCTTTCATAAGCAGCATGTCACAAGCAGGCAGAGAAGGACATGCTTGAGGACCCCTAGCCTGAAACAGGCAGGGCTAGTGGACACCAGGATCCGCAGCTGCTGGTCAAATTCCACGGAAGGGCCACAGGGACAACGCCAACAAAGGAAGCCCAGCACTTGGACAAGAGACTGCGAAGGAGATCCTGAAGACCTAAAGGGCGGTAACAGGAATCCAAGGAAGAGGCCAGGCCAAGCACAGCGAAGGGACCAGCAGAAGCACGTGTCCCTGGCTGCAGACAGACTGGAGGGTTCAGAAGCACGTGTCCCTGGCTGGAAGACAGACTGGAGGGTTCGGAAGCACGTGTCCCTGGCTGGCAGACAGACTGGAGGGTTCAGATGAAAGAAGAGACGTTCCTAGCATGACCAAGGAGAAATAAAGATGTGGACAAGCATATCGTGGTAAAAACCCTGAATTCCACCAGCAGTATGAAATACAAGCACTAGTACTGACAGACCAGACCCTTCTGTGAGCCTTCATGTGGTCAAAGCAACAAAAGCGTGGGCTTACTTTTCCCTGGGCTCCTCCAGCAAGCCCCCCAAGGGCGTGGGCTTCAGGACAGCATAGGGCTCCCGTTTTCCATCTCCAATATCCGCTTCCTCTCCTCTTTCTTTTGGGTTCTCAGTTGGTTCCTCCCCCTTTTCTGGTTTCTTAAGAAGCTAGGAAATTGTTACATCAGTAAAATATCAGTTTTGGAGAATTTTATAAATGAAGTTGTTTAATAGTAAGTTAAAAATATAAAACAACATTGAGCACAAATGTTTGGATAGCAAAAAATGTAAGCTAAAGGTGCAGCAACCAGGTTTTTGGTTAAATACCGAGGGGAACATTCAGTCAATGAAAGATGATAGTTATGAACAACGATTTAGGATAGTTGATGAGGTTTTGTTTTTGTTTTTTTTCCAGAGAGAGAGAAAGCAAGAGAAGAAACAAAAGCAGGGGGAGCAGCAGGCAGAGGGAGAAGCAGGCTCCCCACTGAGCAGAGAGCCAGACGCGGGGCTCGATCCCAGGACCTGGGATCATGACCTGAGCTGAAGGCAGACGCTTAATGACTCAGCCACCCGGGCGCCCCTGATGAGATGTTCTTATTGATGAATAAATGACCTGGTCTCTATTTACATGTTTACACACACAGAAAAACATCTAAAAGGCTGGCAACACTGTTAATAGTGATGATTTTCAGGTGGTGGAACTAAAATGATCTTCTTTCCTTTTGTCACCAAGTTTTAGTTTTCTCTAAGATGAGTAAGTACTGCTTTTGTAATATGTAAAAATATATTGTTTAAAATGTTGCTTTATGGAACGCCTGGGTGGCTCAGTCAGTTAAGCGTCTGCCTTCAGCTCTGGTCATGGTCCCAGAGTCCTGGGATCGAGCCCCACATCGGGCTCCCTGCTCCGTGGGAAGCCTGCTTCTCCCTCTCCCACTCCCCCTGCTTGTGTTCCCTCTCTCGCTGTGTCTCTGTCAAATAAATAAATAAAATCTTTTAAAAAAACTAAAATAAATAAAATAAAATGTTGCTTTATATTGATGACTTTTAGAATAAACTTTGAAAACACGTCTTACTCTTTCTTCAATCAGCCTGAGCAGGTTGCTGTCTTCAAATCTGGGCCTTCACATCCCCCCCACCCCCCATGCCGTTCTCTGTATAGTTTACTCTTTGAAATTCAAGTGCCACAGGTCAGTCAGTTTACAAAAGTAGAAGGTATACTTCTGAGAATTTTTTTCTAACTTATAAAAGTGAGCCAATTTAAAAAAATTTTAAATTGTACTACAGCAAAATTATACAGATAAATTTCAACTATATGAGTTAATTTAAGAATGAAACAGATAAAATATAAAACAGTATGAAAAGTTGCTTCTCATCACAGGTGTGCACTATGTTACCTTACATACTCTTATTCTGCCTGTGGGGTCTGTGAATTTAAACAATTCCTTTCAGATATCTATGGACGTTTATGTTTTAAGGTGTTATTTATTTATTTGACAGAGAGCACACATACAAGGAGGGAGGGTGGCAGGCAGAGGCAGAGCGAGAAGCAGGCTCCCCGTTGAGCAAGGAGCAGGTACTTGGGGCTCGTTCCAGGACCCTGGGAACGTGACCTGAGCCAAAGACAGACACTCAACCGACTGAGCCACCCAGGTGTCCTGACATATTTTTTTTTTAAGTTCTTTTTTTTTTTAAGTAAGTTCTTTTTTTTTTTAAAGATTTTATTTATTTATTTGAGAGAGAGAGAATGAGAGACAGAGAGCACCAGAGGAAAGAGGGTCAGAGAGAGAAGCAGACTCCCTGCTGAGCAGGGAGCCCAATGCGGGACTCGATCCAGGGACTCCAGGATCATGACCTGAGCCGAAGGCAGTCGCCCAACCAACTGAGCCACCCAGGCGCCGACATATTTTTTAATTAAAACTGTAATATATGCTGGTAATAAAAGTAAACCACAGGGAAGTATAATAGTTTGTGTTTCCACCCATCCATCCAACAAATAATTCTGTGCACCTCTGAACTGTTTTTACTTGCAATACTTCTGAAACCAAATGTGTGGTGTCCTTTCCAACACCACTTCTCCAAACCCCCAGCACAGACTGGGTGTCCTACAAATCCATTCAGTTTTGACACTAGCTAGCTGGAATTAATGTCAGATTGCACAAAACTGTCTCCACTTCAGATGCCTGAAGCTACCCATGGCCTCAGCCACCTGTCACCTCACTGGTATATAGAAGATACTCTTATCACTCCAGAGCCTGCAAGGATTTTAGGAGCTATGTGCCAGGAACCGGGGGAAAAAGACTCTGTGTCAGGTGCTAGGAATATAGTTGTGAATGAGAGACAAGTGCCCACAGTGAAGGCATTCACAGGACATTCTAGCTGAGACGATGGTGGCCACGGGGGCGGGGGGGGGAGGGGAGTAAGCAGTGACAAAATAGAAAAAGTGAACCAGATAATCTTAGGTGTCATGAAATGCTAAACAACTACTAAGACAGAAAAAACGGACAGACAGAGATGTGGGGTAAGAAGTGATGGCTTCTCAAGGGGTTCAGGGAGGGTCTCTCTGTGGAGGTAAAACATGATGAGGAAACACTTATGAGAAGACATAAGTCATGGGAGAAAGCTCCCTGTGGAAGGAAGCAAGCAGAGACCTAGGGTGAAATCAGATTGGCAAAGGGAGGAGGTGACAGGGAGGGGGGACGGAAGAGGGAGGGAGGGGGAAGGGGGGAAGCAGGTGAGAGGGAGGGAGGGGGGAGGAGCCAGGCACAGGAGGTGGCAGAAGCAGGTACCAGCCAACATGTTTTTAATAAGCTTTGTGAAAAAGATCACACTTTGTTAAGAATGTAATCTACTGCCTACAATTTGTATATTCAGGAATCTTCCTAACTTCCTACTGCAACTTACGCTCATTACCTAGTTTTAGAGTCCTCAGAGGAAAATAAAAACAGCTGGGTTGCTCTTATATCATAGTTTTTATTGTTAAAAATAGCCATGAGGGGGCACCCGGGTGGCTCAGTCATTAAGAGTCTGCCTTTGGCTCAGGCAGGTCATGATCCCGGGGTCCTGGGATCGAGCCCCGCATCGGGCTCCCTGCTTGGCAGGGAAGCCTGCTTCTCCCTCTCCCACTCCCCCTGCTTGTGTTCCCTCTCTCGCCGTGTCTCTGTCAAATAAATAAATAAAATCTTTAAAAAAAAAATAGCCATGAGGATCTCTCTCTGCATCTGTATTTTTATGATATTAACACAACTCTTTTAGCATTTCTTCACTGATTTTTTTCAGGTTAAAAAAGTTTTAATTCGGGGCACCTGGGTGGCTCAGTTGTTGGGCGTCCGCCTTCGGCTCAGGTCGTGATCCCGGGGTCCTGGGATCGAGCCCCGCATCGGGCTCCCTGCTCAGCGGGAAGCCTGCTTCTCCCTCGCCCACTCCCCCTGCTGTGTTCCTGCTCTCGCTCTCTCTCTCTGTCAAATAAATGGATAAAATCTTAAAAGAAGACAAAACAAAAAAAAACTCTTTAAAAAAATTTTTATTTCTCCAAATGATTCTTGTTTTTTTTTTTTAAAGATTTTATTTGACAGAGAGAGACAGCGAGAGAGGGAACACAAGCAGGGGGAGTGGGAGAGGGAGAAGCAGGTCTCCCCCAGAGCAGGGAGCTCGATGTGGGGCTCGATCCCAGGACCCTGGGACCATGACCTGAGCCAAAGGCAGACGCTTAGCAACTGAGCTGCCCAGGCACCCCTCCAAATGACTTGTAAATCAGACATCCCTAAAATGAGGCCAGATGCTCACTTAGGGCAAACCTTGGGCTGGGGTGTGTGTCCTCAGGTCAGGACACGAGACACTCGTAAAGGCACAGGCTGCCGATTACTCATGTCACTGGGGTCTACTCTGCAACCAAGATCCTGTGTTACCAGACTTGGATAAGAATACCCTTTCTCGGGGCGCCTGGGTGGCTCAGTTGGTTAAGTGACTGCCTTCAGCTCAGGTCATGATCCTGGAGTCCCGAGATCGAGTTCCACATCGGGTTCCCTGCTCAGCAGGGAGACTGCTTCTCATGCTGTCTCCCATTCTCTCTTTCAAATAAAATCTTTAAAAAAAAAAAAGAATACCCTTTCTCTTCATGTTTTGACTTCTTCTTTTCTATATGAAAGAGCATACGTTTATTTTTACTGACTTAATTTTGTTTTTATTTCTTTGGTTTATTTTGGACTCGAATTTCATAATTTAAAATGTAAAAGTGAAATGCTATACTCCAAATACTTTAAGTCTTACTTAAAATTATAACTGAAATTGTAAGCTACAAGTTTCAAACATTATTCCTGAAAAACTCTCAAGCTACTGAAAAAAGTGCTTTTGAGAATGTAAAGATTAAGCAGTAAGTTAGTTAGCTATTATGTGTTTAGAAAGGTCAATGAGAAGATTAGGCAATATTTCCATCTGTGACCATAAAATTTGCATTAAACCCAAACACCTACTCTGAGCCCTGCGATGACAGCTGAATTTCTACCACAATTCATGTTTAAGGTTTCCCTACAATATTAAGGTTTCATTATCAGTTACCTTTTGAGGGCTGTTAATTTATGCCGTTGAAGATGTCAGCTTTGTTACAGGAAGTCAATCTGCTACAATTTTCTTGGGAGAGTTGTGTGTTCACTAAACCACGTCCACGGAAAACATGCCCTCAGTTATTTCCCCGAGGAATACCCTGGTTTTGCCATGTCCTTGCTGATAGGAGACGGACCATCTTTGATAGTCTTGGTTGGGTTCCTCAATCTCATCAATGTTATCATCAGATTACAAGATACTTTCTGTGGGACAATCAGTTCCCTACTCATCTTGAACATCTAGATTTGTCTTCACAGCAAATGTGCTCAAGGAATGTGACCTGCCCCATACCTTTTATCAAGATAAGGTTTTCAACAATGTCTTTTAACTTAAAGAGAGACATTTCTGGTTCTCTTCCTGGCACTTCTTGAATATGACCCCCATCTGAGATTAGGTGCCACCATGTGGCTTGCTCTGGCCAGTGCAATGTGGGCAGAAGGGCTGTGTCTCTTCCATGTGGTTTAAGAACCAGCATGCAATCTTCTGTATCACACATTCCCCTCCCCATTATAAGGAATGTGGAAGCAAATGCCAAGGTGGAGCCTTCATCAATAGGTCTCTGGATGGCAATGGTGAGCAGCGTACAATGGCCATGGAATACCAACGACAGACTCCAGTTATGTGAACTGGTGAGGTGTGAGGCTATCTGTTACTGCAGCAAACCCAGCCAGGCCTGACGGATACACACAGTAGTGTATTTTCATAGGAATTTTGTTAATAAATTGTTCCCTCCAGCTAGTGAGCCCCATGTGACCACCTATAAGGAGAAACTGATTTAGAAGCAAAGGCCTAGAAAAAGCTTTGCCTCCCTTGAAGAAATGCAATGTTTTCTCCTCATGGATAATGAAACTATGTTTCTGATCAAACATATCAGAAACTAACCTATGATCGACAAAGATGTGGTATGTACACACAACAGAATATTACGCAGCCATCAAAAAGAACAAAATCTTGCCACCTGCAACAACGTGGATGGAACTAGAGAGTATTATGCTAAGCGAAATAAGTCAATCAGAGAAAGGCAATTATTGTATGATCTCACTGATATGTGGAATTTAAGAAACAAAACAGAGGATCATAGGGGAAGGGAGGGAAAAATAAAATAAGACGAAATCAGAGAGGGAGACAAACCATAAGAGACTCTTAACCACAGGAAACAAACTGACGACTGCTGGAGGCGAGGGGGGTGGGGGGATGGGGTGTCTGGGGGATGGGCATGAAGGAGGGCCCGTGATGCAATGAGCACTGGGTGTTAACGTAGACTGATGAATCACTGAACTCTACCTCTGAAACTAATAATTTACTATATGTTAATTCAATTTAAATTAAAAAACTAATCTATGGCTCAATTATGGTGACTCTGACCTCTTCCCCATCCTCTCCCTTTCTACTCTATCTTCCTCCAAATCCTGATCTTTTTTTTTTCTTTCTTCTTATGATACAATTTCACTTAATCTCTAAAAGCACTTCAAAGCCTTCGTGGAATGAGGGAAGATACATATGAGGTTGAAATCTAGGTTTGATAAGGTCATCCGAGCAGATACTAACAAGGAAGGACTGACTCACACTGGAGCACCCTATTTTACATGGGGGAGAACTCCTTCTGTGCATTAACCCGCCCTTCTAAATGAACCCATCAATCAAAGGAGAAATTGGGCAAGAGATTTAGAAACCACTGCTGCTACTGTAAAAAAAAAAAAAAATGGTAAAACCCAGTTCCAGAAGTGAGCCTTCATCTAGAAAGGCTGGTATACACCGAGCCACTGGTTTCCAAATGTGTACGTTTTAGTCAAGGAGTCTTTTCTCTAAAGGAAAATGTAAGCAGAAGCCCAATCTGTGACAAGTAGTGTGGGGTTCCTCTGGGTGAAGTGCTGCCATCACACCCAGGAGGCTGGGCCCCCTCCCCCACAGTATGCCCAAGGAACCCCCAGGGATCAGGGAACACAGTTTGAGAACCACTGCTGTACTGCAGAGAAACGGAACCATAATAACAAAAGAGTAGGCTAACTAAAAATGTCCTTACAAGTTGGAAGAACTAAGTACCTAAAAGGCACGACGGTAGCAGAACTAGCTTTGGAAAAAGGAATGAACTGTCTCCTCAAAATTACCTTAATCCTTACTTCTCTCTCAGCAGCTCTCTTCTGTCTGTCTGCCTCTTTCCTCTTACACCTCTCCTCTTCTCTCTTCCTCCTCTTTTCTTCTTCCCGTAAACGCCTCTTCTCCAGCTCCCTCCTCCTTCGCTCTTCTCGCTTCTCTTCTCGAATCCTCTAGAGACATGGAAAAGCATGTGTATAAATTATCTGTGTGGACATGGCAGGGACAGGAAGGGTACTCATCCGGTAAAAGGGCAAACCTACCTGCTTCTCTAATTTTCTATTTCTAATATATTCCAAAAGAGGTGTGGTTCTTCTAGCTAAAACACAAAAATTGTAATGTAGTATTTAACTCTAAAATAAATTTCTTTCCTTCGTTTTAAATACTTGTTTCCAATTTAATCTTAAATAATTTGGCTGGCTCAGTCGGAAGAGCATGCAACTCTTGATCTTGGGGTTGTAAATGCAAGCCCCATGTTGGGTGTAGAGATTACTTAAAAATAAAATCTTATAAATAAATAAATACATAAAATTTAGATGAGCATACATTGTATTTGAGGGAGTTCCTATTCCATCACTATAAAGTCAAGTAATTTGGAGGCACTGACAACTCTACAAATAGTAGGCAATGAATTCCTGATTCTCAAGGGAGTCTTCGTATTACAGAGACGCTATAAAAGCAAAAAAGAAAAGTGAGTACAACGCATTAGACTTCCCGAACGTTATGATTATCTTCCCATTTTTGCAGATATTTTAAAACATTACATAACACGGTTACAGATTCACTTTGATTCAACACATATTCTGGAAATTTCTTCCTTTTCTGCTCTCTAGACAATGATGTTAAACAATCTAGATTCTTGTAATTTCTTATCATATACGCTCCACAAATCAGAATAACCACATGTAAAAGTTTAGACAGTGACCCCACAGGACACTTCATCTAAGCAGCACTAACCACCCAGGAATGAAACTCTCTGTAAACTTAAACTCGATCCTCAGCTTTCATGCCCCAGACGTGTTTGATCTGACTTGGAATTTGGTGCCCAAATATGGCGGGCCTCAAGGCAGCCTCTCAGGGGGACTGGTTCTAAGTAATATGTATTCTCCATGCCAGTGGCTGACGATGCAGGGGGAAAAGTGGAAGATGGTGTGGATCTATTCCACAGCTCTTTCAAGACCTAAGATTAAATGGGGGGAAGGAAGAATCCCTGGATGCACTTGAAGACTGGCCATGACATCTCCCGAATTCTGAGGATCAGGAATTTTATAAGAGAGCCCCTGGCAGGGATTCTTAACTTGGAATTAAGGACTCCTGAACACCCCGACATAATGTGTCAAATGGCTTCTGCCAGGAAAGCTCAGCCCCAGATTTAGGGCTGGGCAAATGTGCTCATTTCCTCACAGATGCAGAGGCCAAGAAGAGCCCATTCCCTCCCTGGGTGGCTTCTCTGTTAATCATGAACTCTGGCTCAGGATGAGCACAGCTGATGCCCTATGTAACACGCAGTTGCCTCAAATTAGGGAGGACTCTTGCTCTGCACCATGGGAGTTTTGGACTAGTGAGCAAAGAGCAGGATCAAGACCTCCCTGGGTGGGTGAAGGAACTGACAAGACCCCACCCATCTTCTCTCTTCTCCAACAAAATACCTGCCTTGTTACCCCAAAGGATCAATGTGAAAAGTAAATGGGACCCTGTATTAGAAAGTGCTTTACAGGGATGCCTGGGTGGCTCAGTTGGTTAAGAAGCCGCCTTCGGCCCGGGTCATGATCCCAGGGTCCTGGGATCGAGTCCCACATCGGGCTCCTTGCTCAGCAGGGAGCCTGCTTCTCCCTCTCTCTCCTTCTGATTCTGCTCTGTCAAATAAATAAAATCTTAAAAAAAAAAAAAAAAAGAAAGTGCTTTACAAACCATAAAAGTGTATCATTTGTTAAATAGAAGGTACATGGCCATGTAACGTAACAGGAATTTAACCAACAGCCTGTTACCACTTACAGACAGCTGCTGCATCCTGGACACTGTCACAACCACCTGGGAGGAAACAGGGATGCTAAGTCTCAGGGGTGGAACCTGAGCCCAGGTCTGTCTGCTCTACAGACCCTGCTATGCCACTGCACTAACCTGCAACTTTAGAGGGAATTAATATTTCCATTTAACCCTCATTGCTCAGACTAGATCATAGAATCCACTAAAGGTCAAAATCTAAGAAAAGAAAAAGGCAACTTGCCTTGAATAGCCGGATTAAGATCCAAACTTCGATGGGCAGAAACTGGATCACAGAAACAAACAAAGCTCCACAGCCTCATCCTGGGCTAGCAGATTGTGAATCACACTTACTCATTCCATAAAACACTACAATGCACCTACTGTGCACCAGGTACCGGGCAAGGGGCTGGGATGGGAGAGGATGTCCCTCTGGTGTGGGAGGAGGCTGGAGCCAGCTGGATGGTGTGTGTCTGGCCACCAAGGACTATCTCAAAACTGCCCACAAGTGGAAGACCCTGGTCCTTTTCTGTGGCTATCCTGCACAAGAACATTTATAGCAAAGAGGGAAGGGGGGGCGAGTCCTACAAATAATTTCTAGTTTGCTTCCTTTTTTAGCTCTTCTTAAATTTAACATGTTCTACAATGGATCTCAATTCACTTCCAGTAATCTTCCCCAGTCTGCCCCATGTCAGTGATGGTGCCTCCACTCATTGATCTGTTCGAGTCAAACTCCTGGAGACCTGGATTCTTTCTGTTTCCTTTCTTCCCACACCCAATTTGCCAGAGCATATGCAGACTCTGCCAGCTAGCAATCCATCGTGTATGGAGCAATGTGCATGGAGTGATGAGGAAAACTAATCAGGCCACATCACTCCCTCAGCAGTCTCCAGCTGTCTCTCGAACAAACTCCAAACCTCTTACCCACCTGCCTCTCCAGCCACTCTGCCCCGGGCCCACCATGTACCAACCACACAGGCATACATCCTGTTCCTACAGGCCCACAGCTCAGCTTCCAGCTCTTGTCTAGTCCCTTCTTCTTCCATGTCTTAGCACATCTGCTCTCAAAGGGCCTCTGCCCTCCCAGGACTGTTTCATCATACTGTGGCACTGATCACATACACAAGCCCTGACTTAAAGCCTGATTATTGTTGCAGGTGTTTACTACAGTCTTCCCCAAGAGCAGGACAGATACAAGACAGCAGAGGCCTCATGTGTCCCATTCATGTTCACACCACATACCTAGGCTGAGTCGGTACCCACTCAACGTGTGCAGACCAAAAATGAGCACATGCACGCTAAGCACATCTTTATAAATATTTAGTGATTAAAAAATCCTTTGAGCTACACATTAAATCAGCTACTGTGAACAAATAACTGTAACCAAAAGCTCTGGTGCTCTCCCTCAGAAATATTTTCCCAGGTTGCCATATTTTTGTTACAACTGGAAAACACTCTACATCCCTGCTAAGCCTGTCACAAGTGTAAATTTTTAAATAATTGTAAAAAAGAAATAAATATATATCTCAATCAAGTAAAGAGAAGAAATGAGCAAACAGACCAATAAGTTCTCTTGTCTTTGCCTCTATGTCTCCCAGAAGAGTTTCGGGATTGGCATTAGGTTTCTCTTCCTCCACACAGTAAGTTTCCAAAAACTTCTTATATTCTGGATCTGTAAATTAAAAAAGAAAAAAAGAAAAACATGCTCCTCCCCACATATGGGAGAGGAATTATATTTGATCGATGTATTTAATTTGGCAGTTTCATAATCCAGCCTTTATAAAGGGACTCACCATCTTCAATGCTTCCAGTTTTGGCATCTTTTTTCTTTAGTTTCTTTTTGGCTATCTTCTGGAATGGGGCAAACTCTACCACTGCAGGATATTCTAGGCCTTTAACAGAAAACAAATTGCAAAAACCATTCTAAAATTCCGCTATATTCATTTTGGCAAATAATAATTTAGCTTTCTTTTTTTCTTTTTCTTTGCGGGGGCAGGGGCAGAGGGAGAGGGACAGAGAGTCTTAAGCAAGCTCCACACCCAGCAGAGCCTGAGCGGGGATCAATCCCATGACCCTGAGATCATGACCTGAACCAAAATCAAGAGTGAGATGCTTAACCGACTGAGGTGCCCCATGATCTAGGTTTCTTAAAGATTGACCATAACAACATTAACATTTAAACTATTATTTTCAAGCACCTGCAAACTTAGCATGTCAAACTCCAGATCTGAACGAAGGACGAGCACTTATTTATTAAAGAAAATGATTTCTCATGTTGCAGTAGTGGCTACATAACTGAATGCACTCAAAATTCATCAAAATGCACACCTTAAAATGTCAATAAACCTTCTCTCCCCCACTGAAGAGTTTATCATGGAATACCTTTAAACAGGTTCCTTAGTCACATTTTTTTTTTTAAATTTCAAAAGGTTGTTTCAGTGATTAATCTGTTATATGAGTTCAAGGGAATTAGTATGCTTAGAAGAGACACTTGGCTAAAAGAGGGGCCTCAGAGGGCATGCACATGGTTGGCCTCAAACAGAAAAGTTTAGAACAAAAGCCACGAGAAACTGATTTGGTCATTATGTGCGGGGTTGGGGGGGGTGGGAGTGGGGGGCAGGAACATACTGAGAAACGTTCACTATTTACTTAATCAACTGATGGAACACTTCCATGTTGGTACTGAATCCTTTAGCCTTGTCAGGAATGGTCAGATGACCATGATATTGCAACTCTTATTTATCTGGACAATATTTCTGTGCTAACTTTAACTATCTAGAATAAAGTCAAGGACCAGTAGGAGAGGAGGGCTTTGGACAGGCAGGAACAATGTCTGATTCACTGCTGCACCCATATGCCTGGTACACAGATACTTATCAAGTAGGAGTTGATACACTTCCTGATTTCAAAATTCTTATGAAGCAATGGTAATCAAAACAGTATGGTACTGGCATAAAAAAAGAAACACAGACCAACGGACTAGAACAGAGAGCCAGAAATAAACCCTCACATTAATGATCAGATGGTTTTCCATGAGGGTGCCAAGACTTTTCAATGGGGAAAGGACAGTCTTCTTGAACAAATACTGCTAGGGGTGCCTGGGTGGCTCAGTCGGTTAAGTGTCGACCTTCAGCTCAGGTCATGATCCCAGAATCCAGGGATCGAGCCCCGCATCAGGCTCCCTGCTCAGTGGGGCGTCTGCTTCTCCCTCTGCCCTTCACATTGCTCATGCTCTCTCTCTCAAATAAATAGAACCTCAAAAAAAAAAAAAAATACTGCTGGAAATACTGGATATCCACATGAAAAAGAATGAAGCTGGACTCTTATCAGATACCACAGACAAAAGTTGACTCAAAATGGATCAAACACCTAAACATGAGACCTAAAACTATAAAACTCTGGCAGAAAACATGGAGGAAAAACTTGACATTGGATTTGGCAATGATTTCTTAGATGTGACACCAAAAGTACAGGCAACTAAAATAAAAACAGAAAAACTGGATCACATCGCATTAAAAACACCTGAGTGTCACAGAATACAATCAACAGAATATAGAGGCTACCCATGGAGTGGGAAAAAATCATACATCTGATGAGGGGTTAAGATCCATAATATGTATATATATATATATACATATATATACATATATATACACACAACAAGAAACAACTCAATTTAAACATGGGCATTCCTCCAAAGAAGACACACAAATGGCCAACAAGCACACAAGGATGCTTAACACCACTAAGCATTAGGGAAATATAAGTCAAAATCACAATGAAATACCACCTCATACCCATTAGGATGTCTGCTACCAAAGAAACAGAAAACGAAAAGTGTTGGGAGGATGTGGAGAAATTGGGAGGCCTCAAGCCCAGGTGGTGGGGATACAAAATGAAGTAGCCTCTACGGAAAACAGTATGGCAGTTCCTCATTAAAAATATAATTACTACATGATCTAACAATTCTGCTATGGTTATACCCAAAGTAACTGAAAGCAGAGTCTCAAAGAGATACTTGTATACCCATGTTCACACCAGCACTATTCACAATAGCAAAGAGCTGGAAACAACCCAGCTCTTTGTAAATGGATAAACAAAATGTGGTATATACACACAGTAGCATATTACTCAATCTTAAAAAGGAAATTCTGAGACGCTACAGCACGGGTGAACATTGAGGACACCATGCAATGTGAAATAAGCCAGTCACAAAAAGGGAAATACTGTATGATTCCACTTATATGAGGTATCTAGACTAGTAAATTCATAGAAACAAAAAAAAGGTGACTGCCAGGAGCTAGGGGTCAGGGAGAAGTGGTGAGTTATTTAAAGAGTCCAGAGTTTTAGTTTTGTAAGATGAAAAGAGTTCTGGAGATGGGATGCACAACAGTGTGAATGTACTTAATACTACTGAACTGTATGCTTAGAAAAGACTAAGATGAGGGACGCCTGGGTGGCTCAGTCAGTTGAGCATCTGAAGCATCTGACTCCTGGTTTGGGCTCAGGTCATGATCTCAGGGTTGTGGGATTGAGGCTTTGGCCTCTGCGCTCAAGCACTGAGTCTGCTTGTCCCTCTCCCTCCCCTTCTGCTCCTCCCCTCACGCATGTCTGCTCTCTCTCAAAAAAATAAAATCTTAAAAATAGTTCAAAGATTACATTTGCTTTTCCTCACAGGAAAGAATCTCTTGGCCTCAGCCTAGTCACTCTTTAAGGATATTTTGTTAGCTCTCAGTGAAGAAGAAAACACTTATCAGCAGTGGAGTGGGGTGGAGTGGAGTGGGAGGAGGTTGGTTGGTGAGGGGTATACAGAGAATATGCTCTTACAGTTGTACCAGCTTGATCGCAGTGGACACAACAGCTGACAGTCCAATGGGAGGGAGGACAAAGGCAATATCCAGAAAGTACAGAGAATCGGAACCATTTAGAGTAGAGGTAAATATCCCTGTCTCAGCAGGCAATGCTGTTCAACAGAGTCAAAAACTTATGTTCATTATTATAATCCCCTCCCCATGACATTGTCCAGAAATGGTATAATTATGAAGAGTACTCTGTTTAACATTCTTATTTTTTAAATTTTTTTCAAGATGTATTCACTTATTTTAGGGGTGCTGGGTGGCTCAGTCGGTTAAGCCTCTGCCTTCAGCTCAGGTTATGATCCCAGGGTCCTGGGATCGAGCTCCGCATCGGGCTCTCTGCTCAGTGGGGAGCCTGCTTCTCCCTCTCCCTCTGCTTGCCACTTCCCCTGCTCGTGCTCTTTCTCTGTCAAATAAATAAAATCTTAAAAAAAAAAAAAAGATTTATTTACTTATTTTAGTGAGGGAAAAAGGGCAGAGGGAGAGAGAGAGAATCTTAAGCAGACTCCCCAATGAGTGAAGAAGGAGCCGATGCTGAGATCATGACCTGAGCCAAAATATAAAGAGTACACTGTTTAAAAAGACATAGATATAAGTGAATAATATATTTTAGAAAATTTCTATTGCACAGAAGTAAAGTGATTTGGTTTTGGTACATAAGAAAGTGAAGTTCAATTATCAGAAAACTCATTTATATGAAATATTTCACTCCAATAATATATAAATAGGTTGTCACTGATATAAAGAATTGATGGAATTCTTTGGTTTATGTATAATTTTAATTTTCAACATAAGCACACAACCACAGTAACACAACTGAGATTTATGAAATTATTTTAGATTGGTATCTGAGAACTTAATTATAATTCACAAACATTCCAGCAAAACTTAATTCACGTACTTTGAAATTAAAATAAAGAATTTAAAAAACCAATGATCCAACCTTTACTGTCAATGAAGATATAGCCATCAAAACGATCTCTAAAAAGAAGGATGTCATCAGGATTTCTAAAATTAATGTATGCTCTTGAATAAAGATGAGGGTAAAGACTGAAATAAGAGATAACAGTGAAAATGGTTAGTAAAAAATGCAAGACTTCTTTAATCTTGCTTTTTTTCTTTTCTAGATACAACAAACTGAAACCCATGTGCCAAAGAACACCTCTCAGCTAATTACAACAATCTGGGTATTCGTTAGCAAAAAAACCCCCAAAATAAACAAAACATTACCCAAGATCTTTTTAATAACTTTGGAAAGACACTTAAGGTCAGCCTCTCTATTACACAGAACCAGAGTTATAATACTCGTTTTCCAAAGTTGAAAACCAAAGGCAAGGTTATTCAAAGGTCATTCCTTATCACACATCATGACCCAATAAAATCTAGTCATGATTCATAAATGAAAACATCATATTGCACAAAAGAATCTTCACTGACTTAGAGAACACCTTTACTATTCTAAGGGATATTAATTGTAGCACATGGTATGGGGACTACAGAAGGACTAAGCCTTTCTCCTCTACCACAAAACTACCAACTTCCTTACTAGGCAGGAACTTTCAACCCCATTTCACAGATGAGAACACAGGCTCAGAGAAATTCAGTAAGTGCAAAAGGTACAGCTAGTTAAAAAGTGGGACTGGGGTTCCAACCTGAATCACTCTGAGTCCAGGGCCTGTCCTTTAACTGTACCAGTTTTCTTAAACTTTAGTCATCTGAAATTCACCTATTATTTTTTTTACACCCAATCTATATTTTTCTTTGAATAGACTGAAAGTTTTTACTTAAAACAGTATTTATTCAGAAGGAGGGTTTATATGGCTGCCACAAATACACACTCACGACACTGAAGATAAAAAGGGTTAACAATGATGGTCAAGAGTGTAGCAGAAACATAGTGAAAATCACAAAATGTAGCTGAACTGTCCCCTGTGGAAGGTCTAACCTAAGGTCTGCTTTCTCTTCGTTCATAAAGAGAAGATGTGGACGTGTTCAAGTGTCCTCGGAGTCACCCCTCCACCACGGTGTGAAAGGGAATGAGAAAAGAAGCGGTAGGCTGGGAGGGCGGCGGTGGCGGTGGGCGCGAGCACAGGGTCTCTGAGGGCTGGATCCGCGTTCTTTCTCCGCAGTCTGTCTTTTCAGATGACGGGGGTGCTAGTACACGCACATTTCAAATCTCTTTAGAGGAAGGAATTCAACGATCAAGTCCGCGTAAGGTGCGCGCTGATTTCTGGGTCCGTGTGGGAAAAAGACGGAGACAGCTTCCGCCGTCTACAACCGCCTCCCAGCTTCTCACCTGAAGTCGGCGGTGAAGAACTCGAAGTAGTCGTGCGCGGGCAGCGGGTGCAGCTGCTCCTCCAGCTGCTCCTTGGTGAGGCTGGGAGGTAGCCGCCGGATCACCACCTGGGGAGAGGACGGACGGTGGGCTTGGCGTCCCCCCTGGCGCCGCCATCCCTGGAACGCCGCCTGTGTTCAGGCTCAGAGGGAGCGCTACACCAGGAGTCCAGCAGAAACGCCCACTAAACGCGGACACAGCACGGCCGTCAGAAGGGGCTGCGCCTAACACAGCTCCTTCCTCGGGAACCCCGACGACTGTGGGCCCGACACGTACCGTCCGCGCCCGAGTGGAAAACTCAAAGCCCCCGAGCCCGCGGCGGGCGCCCGGCGCCCCGGACCGCGCCTGCCCGGGCCGCGGCGTGTCCGCGCTCAGCCCCGACCGGAAACACCACCGGCTCCAGGCGCTGCTCTTCCTCCCCACGCCAGGAAAAGCCGCGTGAGGCGGGGCGGGGAACGGCCCCCGCCTGGCAGCTGTCGGCGGTGCTGAAGAGGCCGGCCCCTACCCCGCGCTCTCCGATCCCGCAGCCCGTGGCCTCGCCCCGTCCGCTCCACCCCAAACCCTGAGCCCGCCCCGCCTTTCCGCAGGACCGTCCCTCTTCTCGCGAGGCTTGCCCGCCCACCCGCCTTCCGGAACACGCCACCCTTAGCGCCCCTCCGCTTGCAGCATCACGCCAACCCTCGGCCCCGCCTCACCTCGCTCCAGACCGGCCCTCTTAGCGAGAGGTTTGCACGCACCACTCCGTTCTCGCCTCCACCCACCCCGTTGAAGACCCTCCTCCTCTCGCGAGGTTAGTCTGCCCCGCCCCTTCCCCCCACCTTGCTCAGAACCGTCGTCTTCTCCTCGCGAGGTTTGCCTGTACCGCCCCCACAGTCGAAGGACGAGGCTGGTGGCACCTCTGGTTCTCGCCGCGGCGACTCCCGGCGAAACTGGACTTCCACAGCCGACAGCTTTTCTCTCCCGCTCGGGCCCCGCGCAGCAACGGCCACCCCGGAGCCTCCCACTCCCTCCTTCTCTGAGCGCATCTCGCACCCGCCGGGAAGTGGCCGCTGCCTCCCGCCCGGGCCGAAATGTCGCGAGAACTGGGCCACCGCCCCTCCCCCCGGGCCCATGATGCTCCACGTCCAGCACCCCTCCGGGGTGCTGGGGCGTACCCCGGACCCGGACTTCCGGCCCGGGAGTGCACGGGGTCGGCCAAGCGCTACTGGCGCGGGTAGCCGGGTCTCGGGAGGGCCTGGGGCCTGCGAGGGGTGGAAAAGCCTCGCCCAGTAGGCGGCCAGCGGGAAATTAGGGACCAACAGGGGACTCGATCCCAGAACCTCAAGATCAAGACCCCAGCCAAAGGCAGACGCCCGACTGACTGGGCCACCCCACCCTGGTGCCCCTCTTTACTTCCTGCCATTAACAAAGTTTCTAAGAAATGGTTTCACAAAAATCACAGAATTTTAGAACTCAGGTTTGACGACATTCTGAACATTAAAGAAATAATACAAATTTCAAGATATAGTGAATGAAATATAAAATAGCTTAAGATTTTATATAAAAATACAAAAAATAAGTACATCACAAAATCTAGCTTCCTAGACATCACCAAGTCTGTTAAAATGTTTTGTTTTACATACACACAGAACTATAGACAAAATAAGGCAAAATAACCTCCAAACATCAGAGTGAATAAAGTAGGTAACTTAACTTTGCCACACATGAATGTGGTCCTGAGGTAAATGCTGGTCACATTTTACTGGGGAGCACATCTAATTGTTAAATGGCCGTGGTTTAAAGCAGGAGGTGACCAGAATACCCCTATTCCTCTGAAAATGACAGTATGGTCACTTTAAAGTTGGCAAGGATTCCTTTTTAGGAAACTCATTGTAAGAGTACAAAATTGGGTAGCAATAGATACTTGACAATACAACTACACATTACCTTTCTTCGATACTCTCTGAAGCCTAAACATTGGCATTAGCTGCTGATCTGAAAAACAAATTGGATTTTGCCTTGTATTTCTTAAAGCACTGACAATATGGTAATGGCTCCTTTTTATCAGGAGTTTGCTCTTTCAGAAACCTAAAAAAATCATACCACATGATCAATGAAGAAATTACATGAAGAAATATTTTGGTCTGGAAGGCAAAATAAATGTGAAAACAGCATTAATACCTTCATTTTTTATCTATTTTAAAAATTACTATTTTAGGTACATTTGATTTTCTTAGCCCTAGCTAAAGAGGGGAGGCATAAAAATAGGTACATGTGATACCTGACAGAGACGGAAAAGCCATTAAATAAAGATGAAAACTCAAAACCTCAGTATTTGCGTCTAGAGAGTAGTAGGTAACTCATGGTCCACGTGCATTACTGCATTATTCACTGTGGTAAGCTGAAACAGAACAGCCAGGATGCTGGGCCCTGGAAGCATCAATAGCTGCATTCAGATTCCTCAAATGTACAAACCCTTACTTCAAAGACCTCCTGGAGGGCGCCTGGGTGGCTCAGTCTTTAAGAGTCTGCCTTTGGCTCAGGTCAAGGTCCCAGGGTCCCACATGGGGTTCCCTGCTCGGTGGGAAGCCTGCTTCTCTCTCTCCCCCTGCTTGTGTTCCCTCTCTCGCTGTTCTCTGTCAAATAAATACATTTTAGGTGAAGATAAAAGTTTTCGTGTTTAAAGGATCATTTCAGATGCCAGGAAAAAAAAACTTTTTTAAGTGGGCTCCACTCCCAGCATAGAGCCCAATATAGGGCTTGAACTCATGACCCTGAGGTCAAGACCTGAGCTGAGATCAAGAGTTGGACGCTTAACCAACGCACTAAGCCACCCAAGGCCCCCGGAAAATTCGTTTCTGTGTAATACTTTGTTAATCATGCTCTGAATAAATGTCTCCGAAACCATTACAAAGTAAGATACTGTACCTGCTGAAGTCAGGATGAGAGCTTGCAAGATTTCGACAAATGAATTATACAATCCTATCTCCATTAGATGACATAGTTAAAGCTCTGAATGAGAAATACTGTCAATCAAAAATTTCATATCTGACAAGACCATTTTTCAAGAAGGAAGGAGAAATTAAGACATCCCCAATAAACAGAAGTTAAAGGAGTTTGTCACTGATAGACAAGTACAAGTACCCTTCAAACAATGCCAAAGGGAGCCCTTCAGGCTGAAACGAAAGAATGCTAAACAATAATTTTAAATCCTATCAAGAAATAAAGAACAAGGGTAAAGACAACTACATAGGTAAATATAAAAGCCAGTATTACTCTTGGTTTGTAATTCTTTTTTTCCTGTATGATTTAAAAGGCAAATGAATAAAACAAAAATTATAAATCAATGTTAATGGGAACAATGAATATCAAAGACGTAATCTGTGACAATAGCAATATTAAGAAAGGGGGAAGGCGGGGCACATAGCAGCAGTGTGTGTATGCTACTAAAATACATGGGATTACTCAAATTAGGTGGTTATAAATTTAAGATGGAAAATGTAATCCCATGAAGAAAAACAACAAAAATACAGAAATATACAAAATACACAAAAAGAAAGGAACTGAGGAACAAGAAATATGCGACACACACAGAAAACAGCTGTGTGGCAGCTTAAGCTAAATTCTTTATCAGTAACTACTTCAAATGTAAATGATCAAACTCTCCAATTAAAACCCAAAATGGATAAAAAAAATATGATCCATTTGTATGCCATCTGTAGGAGATTTGCTTAGATACAAAGACACAAAAGGGTGAAAGTAAAAGGATGAAAATAATATCCCACGTAAATAGTAACGGAGAGAGCTGGGCTGGCAAAACTGTTATAAGAGACAAAAAGGACATCATATATTGATAAAAGGGTCAATCCATCAAGAAGATGAAAGAAGTATAACATATATGCATCCAGTAAGAGAGCCCCAAAATACATGAAGCCAAAACTGGCAAAATGGAAGGGAGAAAGATACAATTCTACGCTCAGTTTCAGACTTCAACACTCCATTTTCAGTAACAGAATTAGGAGGCAGAAGATCAACAAGGAAATAGAAGACTTGAAAAGTACTATAAACCAACCAGACCACTCCATCCAACAAAAGCAGAATACACAATCTTCTCCAGTGAACAGCCTATGTTCTCCAGGAAGGACCATAAATTAGGCCACAAGAAAAGTCTGAATACACTTAGAAAGACTAAACTTACACAAAGTATCATTTTCAACTACAACGGAATAAAACTGGAAATTCAAAATAGAAGGGTTGCCAGAAAACTCACAAATATGTGGGAAATTTAATAACACACTCTTAAAAACCGATGGGTCAAAAAAGAAATCACAAGGAAAATTAGAAAATACCTAAACACCAATAAAAAAAACACAACATAACATTTATGGAATGCAGCAAAAACAGTGCTCAGAGGGAAATTTATAGCTCTAAATGCTTATGTTAAAATCTTAATTCAATAATAAACCTACATCTTAGGAACCAGAAAAAGAATAGCAAACTAAACCCAAAGCTAGCAGAAGGAAGGAAATAAATATTCAAGTGGAAATGAAATACAAACTAGAAAAACAACAGAAAGTTACTAAGAGCAAAAGCTGATGCCTTGAAATGCTCTACAAAATTGCCAAACCTTTAGCCAGATGGACTGAGGAGAGAAAAAAGCTCTTATTACTAAAATCATAAAATGGAAGAGGAGAAATTATTACAAACTTTATAGAAATAAAGGATAACAGGATACTATGAACCAACAAACTGAATAACCCAGATGAAACAAATTCTTAGAAACATACAAACTACCAAAACTGACCCAAAAAGAAACAGCTGTAACACGTAAGGAGACTGAATCAGTAATCAAAAAGCTCCCAACACAGAAAGGCCCAGGACCAGATGGCTTCACTGTCAAATTCCACCAAATCTTTTTCAAAAAATTCCCAAAAAAACTGAAGAGGAGAGACTACTACTTAACTCATTTATGAGGCCAGTATTACCCCAATACAAGATCCAAAAGCACTACAGGAGAACTACAGACCAATAAATATCTCTTATGAATGTATATGTAAATTCAACAAAAAATAATTAAACTGAATTTAGCATTATATTAAAAGATCATACAACATGACCAAATAGGATTTATCCCAGGATCACAAGGCTGGTTCAACATACAAAAATCAATCAGTATATATCACATTAATAGAATGAAGGAAAAATCTACACGATGTTATATAAACGAAACAGAGATGTCCCCCGTATATTGACCCCCATGTTGTTTACTTCTTCACAGGCGGAGATGGTTAGCTGAAGCCCAACAATACCAAATCCAATTTTTACACATGTAATTGTTTTAAATATAGCTTAAATAAGCATATCTTTAGCCATCCAGAGCTGGCCTGTTTTGTATACCAGGCAAACCTACACCCAGCATCTGCTAGCTGTAAATAAGACAAATCCCGGGACTGTGAAAGACCACACTGCCACCGCACTTCAGACCTCTTAACCCCGAGACTTCCTGCCCTGCTGCTACCACATTGCCCCCAAAGAGCTGCTCAAATACAGCTGCCCAAATAAAATGGGCTACTGCCACCTTATGGTCATATTTTCCCCTCAACAGCCCCAAAATCCTAGAACTTTTTTTTTTTTTTAAGATTTTATTTATTTATTTGACAGAGACAGAGATAGCGAGAGCAGGAACACAAGCAGGGGGAGTGGGAGAGGGAGAGCAGGCTTCCCGCAGAGGAGGGAGCCCGATGCGGGGCTCGATCCCAGGACCCTGGGATCATGACCTGAGCCGAAGACAGATGCTTAACGCCTGAGCCACCCAGGCGCCCCCAAAATCCTAGAACTCTTTACCCCTCACCATCACAACTGATCCACAAAAAAAAGCATTTGACAAAATCTGCAACCTTTCCTGATAAAAAGAAACAACAAAGCATTCAATAGGCTAGGAACAGAAGGGCACTTCTCCAAAACGGTGAAGGGCATCGGGGAGAGCCTGCAGTTAGCATCACTCTGGATGGTGAAAGGCTGAAGCCTTCCCCCTAAGATCAGGAACAGGACAAGGGTGCCTGTTTCTGTCACTTCTATTCAACATAACACTGGAGTTCTAGCCACAACAGTTATGCAAGGAAAAGAATTTTAGTATATGTGCTGCCGAAGCGAGCACTATACAAGGAAAAGAAATAAAAGGAATCCAAATTTGGAAAAAGTAGACCTATCTCTATGTGCAGATGACATGATCCTATTATGTAGAAAACTCTAAATAAATACACACATGTGTGCAAACACACACACTCCATTAAAGCTAATAAATACATTCGGGATACAAAGTCAACACACAAAAACTGGTTGTATTTCTATACACTAGGAATGAACAATCCAAAAAGGAAACTAAGAGAACAATTCCATTTACAAGAGCATCCAAAAGAATAAAATACTTGGGAATAAATTTAACCAAAGACCTGGGTGGCTCAGATGGTTAGGCATCTGCCTTCGGCTCAGGTCATGATCCCGGGGTCCTGGGATCGAGTCCCACATCGGGCTCCCTGCTCCTTGGGAGCCTGCTTCTCCCTCTGCCTCTCTCTCTCTCTCTCTGTCTCTCATGAATAAATACATAAAATCTTTAAAAAAAAAAAATGTTTAAATTTAACCAAAGAGGTGAAAGACTTGCACACTGAAAAGTACAAAGCACTGCTGGAAGAAATTAAATAAATGGAAAGACAGCCTGTGTTCATGGATTAGATGACATTGAATCTACAGATTCAATGAAATCCTTGTGACAATTCCAATGCCATTTTTTTTTTGCAGAAATGGAAAAAAACAAAAACAACACTAAACGCATATGGAAATTCAAGGAAGCCACAACAGCCAAAACAATTGTGAAAAAGAACAAAGTTGGAGGGGCTCCTGGGTGGCTCAGTCGGTTAGACTTGTGCCTTTGCTCAGGTCATGATCCCAGGGTCCTGGAATCGCCCCACGGCAGGCTCCCTGCTCAGCAGGGAGTCCGTTTCTCCCTCTCCCTCTGCTCTCCCCCTACTTGTGCTCTTTCTCAAATAAATAAAACTTCAAAAAAAAAAAAAAAGAACAAACTCACACATCCCCGTTTCAAAGCCTAGTACAAAGCTACAACAATCAAAACAGTGTGGTACTAGCATTAAGGATACACATATGGACCAATGAGCATTAAGGATACAAATATGGACCAATGGAAGAGGATCCAGAGTCCAGAAATAAACCCTCGTATTTCTCAACAATTGATTTTTGACATGGGTGCCAAGACTATTCGATGGGGAAAGGAGAGTCTCTTTAAGAAACGGTGCTGGGAAAACTGAATATCCACACTCCAAAGAGTGAAATTGAACAACTTATATTTACATAAATTAACTCAAAATGGATCAAAGACCTAACTTTAAGAACTAAAATTATGGAAACCTTAGAGGAAAACCTAAGTGAAAATCTGCATAACCTTGAATTTGGCAATAGTTTTGTAAATATAATACCAAAAGCATAGTAAATAAACAATAGATAAACTTCATTAAGCTAAAAATTTGTGCATCAAAGGACACTATCAAGAGAGTGAAAATACAGGGCGCCTGGGTGGCTCAGTTGGTTAAGCAACTGCCTTTGGCTCAGGTCATGATCCCGGAGTCCCAGGATCAAGTCCTGCATCAGGCTCCCTGCTCAGGGGGAAGCCTGCTTCCTCCTCTCCCTCTGCTTGCTGCTCCCCCTGCTTATGCTCTCTCATTGTCAAATAAATAAGTAAAATCTTTAAAAAAAAAAAAAAGTGAAAAGACAATGGAAAGAATGGGAGAAGAGATGTGTAAATCACATATCTGAGAATATCCAGAATTGATAAAGGACCACAACAGCTCAACAACAAAAAGATAAACAGCCCAATTTAAAAGTGGACACAAATATGGTTTCACTTATTTGTGGAACATAAGGAATAGCATGGAGGACATTAGGAGAAGAAAGAGAAAAATAAAGAGGGGGAAATTGGAGAGGGAGAAGAACCATGAGAGACTATGGACTGTGAGAAACAAACTGAGGGTTCTAGAGGGGAGGGGTGGGGGGATGGGTTAGCCCGGTGATGGGTATTAAGGAGGGCACGTACTGCATGGAGCACTGGGTGTTACACGAAAACAATGAATCGTGGATCACTACATCAAGAACTAATGATGTAATGTATGGTGACATAACAACATACAAAACAAAACAAGACAAAATAAAATAAAAATAAAAAAAATAAAAGTGGACACAAGATCTGAATAGACATTTCTTCAAAGAAGACATACAAATGGCCAGTAAGTACAGGATAAGATGCTCAACATCAATAGTTATTAGGGAAACACAAATCAAACCAAAAGAGCTACTCCTTCCCACCCACTAGAATGATTATAATAACAAAGAAAGTAAAAAGCCCTGGTAAGGATGCAGAGAAACCAGAATCTCATGCACTGGTGGTGGGAATAGAAAATGGGCAGTTGCTGTAGAAAGTTGGCCAGTTCCTCAAAAAGTTAAGCACTGAGGGGCACCTGGGTGGCTCAGTCGTTAAGCGTCTGCCTTCGGCTCAGGTCATGACCCCAGGGTCCTGGGATCGAGCTCCACATCGGGCTCCCTGCTCAGTGGGAAGTCTGCTTCTCCCTCTCACACTCCCCCTGCTTGTGTTCCCTCTCTTGCTGTGTCTCTGTCAAATAAATAAAATCTTAAAAAAAAAAAAAAAAGTTAAGCACCAAATTAAGACATGAGCCAACAATTCCACTCCCTGGCATATACCCAAAGGAACTGAAAACAGGTACTCAGATATTTATACACTCCTGTTCATAGCAACATTATTCACAACAGCTGAAGGGTGGAAACAACCCAGTGTCCATCCACAGATGAATGTGATATAGATAATATGTTATGGAATATTACTCAGCCATAAAAAGGAATAAAGTTCTCATAAAAGCTACAAGAGGAATGAACCTTAAAAATATGCTAGGTAAAGCTGGACACAAAAGGACAGCTACTGTAAGATTCCACTTACACGAATTGGTCTAGATAAGCAAATTCAGACAGAATAGATTAGAGATTATCAGGGGGCGCCTGGGTGGCTCAGTGGTTGAGCCTCTGCCTTCGGCTCAGGTCATGATCCCAGGGTCCCGGGACGGAACCCCGCATCGGGCTCCCTGCTCAGGGGCAGTCTGCTTCTCCTTCCGCCCCTCACCCTGCTTGTGTTCTCTCTTGCTCTCAAATAAAATCTTAAAAAAAAGAAAAGGATTAGAGGTTATCATCAGGAGCTGGCAGGAGGGATGAGTATGGAGTTAATGCTTAACGGAAACGTACACTTAAAAATGGTTCAGATGGGGGCGCCTGGGTGGCTCAGCTGGTCGAGCGACTGCCTTCGGCTCAGGTCATGATCCTGGAGTCCCGGGATCGAGTCCCGCCTCGGGCTCCCTGCTCAGCGGGAGTCTGCTTCTCCCCCTGACCCTCGTCCCTCTCCTGCTCTCTCTCATTCTCTCAAATAAATAAATAAAATCTTAAAAAAAAAAAAATGGTTAAGATGGCTATCTACCTATCTCTATAACCACAGACTCACTTTATTTCTTAGAGCAGTTTGGGTATACAGGAAAATGGAAGAGAAAGCATAAGTTCCCATGGACTCCCCACCCACACCTGTATCCACACCTTGCACTGGTGTATTTGTATCAATAGTGACGCATTATTAACTGAAGTCCACAGTTCATGTTATGTATATTTTACCAGAATAAAGACAAAAAACAAAACAACAAAAAAACAAATGGATGGGGGTATATCACAGGGCCACAGGAGCCAAGCTGAAGGAGCTCCCAATGGCCAACGTTGAAACCACCCAAGCCCTAAAATAATGTGTAGGATTAGAATCTAAAATGTAAGTCCAAACTGATGGTTGAATAAACGGGAGGAGACACAAATTTTCATTATAGAAGAATTCCAAATAATATATGCAGATATTCTCCTTTCCAGAGGTGGAGCTTAAACTCCTTGGTCCTAAAAACAAACCCCCCAAAAAACAAAACCTTGGTCCTCTTGAGGACAGGCTGAACTTCATGACTTGCTTCTTTTTTTTAAAAGATTTTATTTATTTGACAGAGAGAGACACAGCGAGAGAGGGAACACAAGCAGGGGGAGTGGGAGAGGGAGAAGCAGGCTTCCCGTGGAGAAGGGAGCCCAATGTGGGGCTCAATCCCAGGATCCCGGGATCATGACCTGAGCTGAAGGCAGACACTTAACGACTGAGCCACCCAGGCGCCCCTCATGAATTCCTTCTAAAGCATGCATTATGAGCAGGGGGAAAAAAAAAAGTAACTTTACAGTAGAAAAACCTGGTAGACACCATCAAGATTACCACCGTCTGTGATAAGTCATGCTGATACTGTGTACCCCCTAACATGTGATGAGAACAGTACTTCATCCACATCTGTGGTATTTTCTTCCCAAAACCAAGAACCCTAGTCCAGTATGAGAAATACATCAAACAAACTCAAATCGAGGGATATTCTACAAAACAACTGACCAGTCCTCCTCAAATCCATCTAGGTCATGAAAGACCAGAGAAGCCTGAGACACGGTCACAGCAGAGAGGAGCCTAAGGAGAGCTCAGTGCAGTGTGGCTCCTGGACGGCATGCACTTCTCCGTTATGACAAGGTTCCTTGGTTACTTAAGATGTGAATGGGGAGAAACCCGGTGAGGGGTCTGTGGGAGCTTTCTGCTACCTTTGCAGCTTTTGTCCATAAACCTAAAATCAGTCCAAAAGAAAAGCTGATTAAAAAAGAAAAAAAAAAAAAGACATAATACACAATTTACCTCTTTATTCCTCTACACAGAATTGTTTTGTAGAATCAGAAAACATGTGTTGCAAAGGTGTGCAGTCCGGTCTCTTCCAGCACGTCTCTATGCCTAAACGGAGAGGTGCAGTCTGCCTTCGTGTCAAGAAATGGGGAATTCTGAAGATAGGACAAGGATGTGAGGAAACCCTGACCTCCCCCAGGACAAAATGGAGCTGAGAGCTGTCTGCAATCATGTGCTGTGGTCTGACATAGAGGTCTCCAGCATCATGTCACTTTCGTTCATTTCAATTTCGAAGGTTTCTTCCAAGGAAGGTCTGGGATCTGGAGTTTTCCTTGAGGTTTCTAGTGGTGCAAGCCCTGTTTCTTCTGTAGTCTGTTTTTCTACTTCAAATTCCCTGAAATCCCACGGAGGTGAAATAATGTTTTTTAGTGTCTTCATTGTATGCACATCAAAGTCATAGCATTTTAATTTGTCTTTAATGTCTGCTCCTAAAAGGAAACACCACAAGGAGAATAAGATAAGAAACTCCATCATTTCCACGGTCACACAGCACTGCCTCCATCATTAGACGCAAGTACAGCTCACAAGAAAAAACATTCCCACTCTCCCCTTCTTTTTCTCTTTCTTATCAAGGGGGGGTTGCTGGGAGACTTAGAAGCACATGCAGTTTCAGTTCCCTGTGGCTCAGTACTGCCCATTCCTAAAGCCCTCCCACGGTGGGGGAGCCAGCTGGCAGGCACTTGACCTCACCTGCTACGAACGAGAACCGTCGGCTGGTATTCTGGCCCCGGTACAGTCGCGAGCCTTACGCACACAGAAACCACAGTGCAAGGAAATACACTTTCCACATATCAAAATCTTAAGACTAATGGACAAGAGACTTCCAACAGATGCAATCATTTCTGACATAAACAATATAATTTTACACAGTTCAAACTAATAGCTTTCAGTAATAGATGTTTTGACAGATAATGACATGCAAGCCTTCTAAAAATAAAAATAGTACAACATGGTGATTAGAGTTAATAATACTGTATTGCATATTTGAAAGTTGCTAAGATAGATTTTAAAAGTTCTCATCAAAAGAAAAAATTTTCTAACTATGTATGGTGATGCATGTTAACCGGACTTCGGGTGATCATTTCACAATATATGCAAATATCGAACCATTATGTCGTACACCTGAAACTGATATGCAATGTGACAATTACAACCCAAATAAAAAAAATAAGAGTATATAATGACTGATACACTGTAAGACCATTAGCTTTGTGAGGACAGGCAAAATGTCCGTCTCAGCACTCTACCTCCAGACTCTCCCTAGCTTTACAGGAATTTTGCATTTAAGCCTCACAATCCTCCTAGAAAAAAAGAGGAACCTGAGGCTCAGACCTGCCCAAAGCCACGTGGCTGAATGGCAGACCTCCGATTTCAACCCAGAGTCTTTAGGATGCCAGAGCTCAAGCTTTATGCTTTAGCTTTAAGAAACTGAGCCATAACATACACACCATAAAGTGTGCACTGCTGGGCAAATCCTCATATATGCATATACCCACATAACCACCACCAGACGGAAAGAGAACACACTTCCAGCTCCCAAAAAACCGCCCCGTGCCCTTTCCAGTGAATACCTCCCCATCCCAAGCCAGAAGTAATCACTGCTCAAATCTTTCTATCACCACTGATTAGTTTTGCTTATTACTGATCTTCACATAAATGGAATTAATCAGTGTATATTCTTTTTGTCAAAATGTATGAGATTCACCTATGTTACAGCAAGACTTAATTGTCCTTTCAAGTGTGTAGTACTCTATTGCATGAGCTCGCCACAATTTCTTTTTCCATTCTCCTATGCGTGGACATTCAGTTATTTCCAGTTAGGTCTAATTACGAACACAGCTGCTGGAAATAATCCTGTGTGTGAGCGCTGGCTTCCTGAGGCCCTTGTAGCACTGGGCACACACCTGGGAGTAGAACTCCCACCTCCTAAGAGCAGCATGGCAGGTCACCACCCTCACACCCCAACGAATCACACCTCTTAGCCCCCACCCAGGATGACACTGCACTCAGTCATGTGACTTGTGCTGAACAGAATGTGATGGAAGTGATTTTGTGACACTTCCAGCTTTCAGGAGGTCGTGAGGCTTTAATTCTCGTCCTTAGAACCCTGAGACCTCCATGCTATGAAAAAGCCTGAGATAAAAGACCCATAAGAGGCCCAGCTAGGTCAGCTAAAGTCCCCATCTATGCATGAGGCCATCTTAGACCGTCAGCCCATCAAGTGCCTGCTGACCACAGCTGCATTAGTGCATGAAACCAGCAAATGAGCCACCAATCAACCTAGAGAACTGTGAGAAAAAATGCGTCCTTGTCGGTTGGAGTGGTTTGTCAGGTAGCAACAAATAACAGATTTAACAGGCCTATTTAACTTTAGCAGACATGTTCAACAGTGTTCCAAAGTGTAGTCCACCAACAATCAATAATACACCAGAGTACGAGCTGCTCCGTTATCATCACCAACACTGGGCACTATTAGTACTTTCCATTTGTAGCCACTTTGGCTACATCTCAGTATGGTTTTAATTTCATTTCCATGATATGTAATGATATTGAGCACATCCATTTGCCACATCGGTGAATATCCTCTTTGGTGAAGCTCCCGTTCAAGTATTTTGCCCATTTGGACCTATCTTTTTTCTTTCTTTTTCAAATTTTTATTTAAATTCTAGTTAACATATAGTGCAAGGGCGCCTGGGTGGCTCAGTTGGTTAAGCGACTGCCTTCAGCTCAGGTCATGGTCCTGAAGTCCCGGGATCGAATCCCACATCGGGCTCCCGGCTCAGCAGGGCGTCTGCTTCTCCCTCTGACCCTCTTCCCTCTCGTGCTCTCATTCTCTCTCTCTCAAATAAATAAATAAAATCTTAAAAAAAAAAACCATATAGTGCAATATGGGCCCATTTTTTTATTGAACTTTTTGATTTATAGGATTTTTTGTATTCTAGACACAAGTTCTTTGACCACTCTACAAATTATAACTTCTCCCGGTCTATAACCTGACTTTTTACTCTGTTAACAGTGTTTTTGATGAACAGAAGTTCTTCATTTTATTGAAGCCTAATTTAATTAACTTAACACTTTTTCCTCTCATGGTTTTATGTCCAGGTCTCAGGGTTTAACCTCACTGCACCCTCGTTACCTTACAAAGTTTGTAACTAAGTGAGTGCCCAAATACAGCAATTCCATCCAGATTTATCTTAAGACTTGCTTATTATTACAAAAAAATTATTTAAAGAATTACATAGCACCATAATGTGAATGTAAGCCAACTTAATATCCCACTGAAATGTAAAAGTTAATATGCTATTAATATGCTATAAACCCATTTTATAAAGTGTTAATGCCAGAACCTTTTCATTTATTAGAAATTAGAAATTATTAGAAACTAAAGTCTCCAAGATTTTTTCCATCAGACTGATTCTCCTATATCACAGCACTTTATACGTACTCTGTGATAGTATTTTGCATATACCGAGTACTCAATTTTAAAATGCATGAATCCTTTAATAAGTCATTAATTCCCACAGCATTGTTCCAACAAAATAAATGGAGTTCCTTGATGTTAATATAGTTAAATGGTTAGAAAATAAACTTAGAACCTTACATGAGATTTGAGAAACCTAAACAGAGATATACAATCTAAAGAATAGAATACAATGTCAATCAAAATAATTATCATCTTACCAATGTAAGCTTCAGAATCACCAATGTACATCTCAATGCAATGACCAAGCATTGTAACAGAAAATGTATCATCTCGCCTAAGACCAAGAGCCTGTCAGAAAAGATTCAGCATGGTTATTACAAGAAAATGTATTTCCTTCTCTTTCATTTAAAAATATTCCTGCAGGGGGCGCCTGGGTGGCTCAGTTGGTTAAGCGACTGCCTTCGGCTCAGGTCATGATCCTGGCGTCCCGGGATCGAGTCCCACATCGGGCTCCCTGCTCAGCAGGGAGTCTGCTTCTCCCTCTGATCCTCCCCCCTCTCATGCTCTCTCTAATAAATAAAATCTTTAAAAAAATAAAATAAAATAAAAATAAAAATATTCCTGCAGGATTCAATTCAAAACACTCCAGGGAATCAGGGGGAGTGGGGCTACAAGAGTAGCCATGAATTGATGTCTGTTGAAGTTGGGTGATGGTAACGTGGAGGCTCATTACACCATTCTGTTTTATGTTTGAAACCCCACTCCTCCAAAAAGATTTTCAAAACTGTATCTCCACATAGAGCCTTCTAAGCCTTCTGTATTAATTATATAAGAAGACAGGCAAATTATACCATCTTCACACACATTTGAAAGATCACACAAACCAGAAAAGTTGTTAGTCCACGCTTCTAACTAGCTCAGTATCCTGGTTATCATAGTGGCACTTGCAGGACTTGGATCTCGCCTGAAAATTTTAACCAACCCTATGTGTTTTCTCATATTTTATCTTTCTCTCCAAATACCATGATTCTAAGACCCACTTTTTTTTTTTTCCCAAATTGTAACATTTCTGAACTTGGGATGTCTTAAACAACCGGTGGTTTCTAACTACTGCTGTTAGCTGGCCACAGCCGTGATGAGTGTCCTGCGTGAGCAGCCTGGACTTGGCAGCCGTGGAGAGGTAGACTAGACCACAAACCACATGAACACTCACAAATACAGGAACTGCCGTTGTTGTTGACACTTTCTGGCAGCGTAAGATCTGCAGAGCCAATGTCTTTGGGAGAAACCTAGTCAAGAGCAGGGTGTATGTGCCAGCACCAGAAAAGCGGACACATCGACCACCCGGTACAAAAGTGATTTAGAAGAACCAAACTCTGAATGTGAATAGAGTACCTTAAGTATCTGTTTCACTTCTATTTTCTTTTTTATGTAGATACTAGAGTGATTCCTGATGAAAATCTATGTCCTAATATGTCCAAAAAGAGCACTTTTCCAAGTACCAAAAAATGGAGAGATTAGAAAGAATCATGTAAAGTTTAAAGGTTTATTTGTGTGTGTCTATGTGAGTGAGTGTGTGTGTGTGTGGTCAACTTGCTTGCTAATGGGGTCTTAGATTTGGCACGATACGGCATGTGGATTTAGGAGAGATTCTTTCCTTGTGATGAACACAGATTGTTTTCTTCACTGACCAAAGTGATCTAAGGGAATTAATTATAAGTTCTAAGTAGAGAGACTGGAATTTCTTTTCTCCTGTTTAGACAGGTCCAACAAATACCATGGACACATGTATGTCTCACTACACACTTAGGACAATTCTCACATTTATCTCTAATTTAATGAGTACTGCACAACACACACATGCTTTTCTCTGCAAAGGAAAGAAGAAAGCACAAGGTTGCCTGAAGAATTTTAAAATGGCTATTAAAATAAACACTGCCTAGAAAAACAAGCAAACAAAAAGCCCCAACATTGCCTAGAAAAGATCTTTAAAAAAAAAAAAAAGTGGTAAATGTTAACTAGACATACTGTGTGGAAATAGTCAACAGCATTTTCAAAGTTGCCCATCAGACTATGGATATACCCTATGGCAGAATACGTGGATGCGTTCTGGGGAATTAACACCAGCGCCTGACGGTGATAGTCCAAGGCCTCGGCATACTTTCTGTGAGAGAAGACGAGAAGGAGTTGGGAGCAGGGAGAACGGGAAGAAAGAGAGAAAACAATTAGTAGGTACAGTGAAAGCACTCACTTGCTAGGTCTAAGATGAGTATTCATCCATGTAAAAACATCAGAAACACTTTGGGACATCAGAGTAACAGTTTAGGCTGATAACGATTCTTCACATCCACCACCGTGTACCTGGACACCTCCCTGAAATGCATCTTCCTGCCTGCTCAGCCAGCCAGCTGAGGTCACCCCCACAGGAACCCAAGACTGGCGCTGGAACCCCACTACACTACAAGGCCTCCCTGATGGCAAGATAAAACTCCCACACCACTGCTGGTTAAAAGCAACCAAAGGTCCAAAGAAGTTACTTGGGACATTATTTCCCAAAGTTCTCTAGAATACCTGCCCTGTAAATCTTTTGTGAAAAAAGTTCACTGAAGTTTGGGAAATGTTGCAACTCATAATGAATAGTAAAGACTCCAAAATATCCTGAAACAGAAAAACCTGTTATATTTTTAGGAGCCTAGTTTCCCAAACTTATTTAACCAAAGAATCTATTTTTCAGAGGCTGCTGTGTATCACACCATAAAACTGGTACCTAGAGAAAAAGAGTGAGTTAGACTATGGATATGGTTTTAACTAAACCCTACTATCTTAATCCTTCAAATTAATTTTGAACACCAATTTTTTTAATCTAAGAAAATAAAAGTTATTGTAATTCTTTAAACTTCTAGAATATTATTGTACCACCAGAATATAAAAATAAAGAAGTGTTTATAAAAACCACTAGAGATAATTATTTTGATGCTTGCTATATCCAAGCAGCAAAGTACCCAGCTGGAACATCTCAAAATAAAAATATGGAAAAGGGCGCTTGGCTGGCTCAGTTAGTGGAGTGTGCGACTCCTGATCTTGGGGTCGTAATATGAGCCTCACATTGGGTGTAGAGATTACTTAAAAATAAAAAGTCTTTAAAAAATATGAAGGATAGGGTGCCTGGGTGGCTCAGTTGGTTAAGCAACTGCCTTCGGCTCAGGTCATGATCCTGGAGTCCCGGGATCGAGTCCCGCATCGGGCTCCCTGCTCGGCGGGGAGTCTGCTTCTCCCTCTGACCCTCCCCCCTCTCATGTGCTCTCTCTCTCTCTCTCTCATTCTCTCTCTCAAATAAAGAAAATCTTTAAAAAAAAAAAATATGAAGGATACACAAAATTAAGTAAACTTTTAGTCACAAAGAGTATTTCTGAAAATGTTCTACTTTACTTACTTAAGCTTCCTGCAGACATGCCCCAAGTTGTTCAACAAAGGCTCCCATTTGTCAACTGTTACCTGAAACACAGCAGCATCAAACCCATGACTCATGCATGCCACTTTTCAGACAGACCCATTCAACCACACCATCACACGCACCTACGAAGGCTGCCCTCTCTCCCAGGGCCTAGGCAGCATGAGCAGAGTATTTGTTGGATTCTCCATCTTTCTTTCCTGAGGACGCCATTATTTATTAACACAACTTTGTTAATGAGCCCCACTGTGCTGAAGAAGTTCAACTTCTGCACCTCCAGCCCAGAGCTTTCCACCTGCCCACTAAATATTCCTACCCAGAAAGCTCACAAGCAGTGCAAATCCAACGTGCCACCCACTAGACTCTTACTCCCCTGCCATCCCAGCCCCCCCAGCTCATGCCCTTCTGAGCGCCTGCTCCTCATGCCTGGCACCCACATCATCCCTGACCCCTAGGAACTACCAAAGGCTCATTCATCAGCCCCTCAGTGTAACACCAATCCCCACGTAACAAGTCTTATCTGGGCCCCACCACCTACCACCTCAGGATAAGGTGCAAGGCCCTTAACGATCTACACTTAACCCTCCTGCCCCATTTCTTGACCTTCTCTGTGAACTTAAAATCCAAGCTGTACTGGATTCACTCCAACTCAGCACACACCATTCTCTATACCTTCCATAACCTTTTCCTCACTTGTGCCTAGCTGATTATCTGCTCCTGCTTTAGGATGGAGGTGTAAGAGGCCATATCCAAGAGGCCTTCTTGGCCCATCCTAAAGTCTGGGTTAACTGCCCCTCTGTGGGGGTTCCTTTATTTTCTCAATCACAGCTGTTTTTGTGCACTGTTTAATTACTGCCAATTTACTTATCTGCAATCCCCAACCGGTCTAAAGGCAGGAACTATCACGCCAGTTTCCTATTGGCTCCCAACACCAGGCTCAGAGCTTAGGACACAAACACATGTCAGTCAGTCTGAGCTAACCAAACAACAGAACTGAGCCACACTCTCCAGCTCCCGAGCCTGGCTCCAGGAGACCCAGCCCATGGGAACAAAAACATGCCTTTCATGATTCTTAGGCACCATTTGCTTCCCTGTGGCTATTTTGACATTTGCTACAGTAACTGAAGTCAAACAATATTTCCCCATCTTCATGTCACTTTTTAATGGGCATTTTATCAATTTAATAGTATTGTTCATTTGTACTTAAAGCCATTACTGTAAATTTCTGTAAGACTCCACAGTGCCCTCAGATCATCAAAAAATATAGTTTCAACTCTAAGTGTGGTTTGTGATAGTGTGTCTTGAACTTTTCTGTGCATGAGAATTATCTCGGGATCTTGCTAAAACTGCAGACTGTGATTCAGTGGATCTAGGATTATGCATTTCTAGTCAGCTTCCAGGTGATGCTGAGGCAGTTGGTCTAGTTAAAGCAGCAAGGCTCTAAGGTATTCAACTCTGAAAACTGGGAAGGTGATATGTGGCAACCCCATAATAACAAAAACACATTCATTATCCAGACTGCCCAAGACTGAGCTGCTCAAGAACCTATTTTATATACATACGTGTACCAACGCACAGAAATATAGTGTTTTTAAGTTCCTAGGACAAATAAAAGACTTGGCAGGGATCCAGAGGGAGCTGTGTCTGTGTCAATAAAGAGGAACCAACAGCCAAGGAAGATGTGGGCTATAAGCAAGGCTGCCCAAAAGGAAGAGAGTAAAAAGCGAAGTGGCAATCAGAATGGAATAAAACAAAATAGATGCGAATAAAAAGAATCAAGAATCAGAAGAGTAGCAATATGCTCCTCTTTACCTACGGAAGCCGACAGTATCTAAAATTGTTAATTTTAAAATAATACCCAGGTATACACATCCAAGATAGCTGGAAAGTTAACTCATGAACACACATCTTTCATATGGTAGAACCTAGTTAAATATTTCAAACACTGAGAGGTCTAAATACATATTAATTACATGGTAAGAAAAAGCCATGACATGTCTGAATAGAGTGACACCTGGCCTTATTCCTACAGAGGTGGGCACTATATATCTATCCATTAATCAAAGAGGAGGCTCTTCAGTTCCGGAAGGATATCTTATGTTAGATGGTACAGTGCCCAGCAGTGTCCAGATACTCCCCATATCAAATAATCAACAAATATATTCTGATTACTCCCACATATCAAAACTACAGCCTCTTAGGAAGCAAACAACCAACACCTACCCTCTCAATTAGAAACAGATTCATTTTATACCATGTAGCAAAATAAGTGCCTGAAATCCAAACATTAACAAGCCATTTGCCAGGATAAATATTAGCCCATTGTCTTCTAGGTGAGACAGATTGTCCATATTATTGTTCTCATTCAACGGCAAACACACTTAAGAGTTATAGATATTAAATACCTCATTTCCAATTGCTTTAATTTTTTCCAAAGCATCAAGGAACCATTTTTCTGCTGTTTTCCATCTAAAATAAAGGGGAAAAGTTTGCAGATTATTCACAACTAGCAAGTACTGTAAGAAAAATGAGGTAAACTTCTGTAAATAGTTTATTAAAGTTCAAATTTAAAGGTCAAATGATTAATTTTATGGCATTAACATCACAGGTGTTCAAGATTTTAGGAGATACAGTTAATTCTCATTATTCTTGGTAATTATATTCCATAAAGTCACTGTAAACACTGTTTTAGCAAATATCGAACTATGGCTCCTGGTGGAAATATAAGGTCAGGTTCCTACAAACCTGTGGTCAACTGTTCAATGTACAACCTGTTTTCCATGTGCTTCTGTTGACTGATACCTTATTTTTTTTTTTAAAGATTTTATTTATTTATTTGAGAGAGAGAGAGAATGAGAGATAGAAAGCACGAGAGGGAAGAGGGTCAGAGGGAGAAGCAGACTCCCTGCTGAGCAGGGAGCCCGATGCGGGACTCGATCCTGGGACTCCAGGATCATGACCCGAGCTGAAGACAGTCGCTTAACCGACTGAGCCACCCAGGCGCCCCTGACTGATACCTTATTTAACATACATGTTGATCAACTGACACTGAACACAGCCGGCAACAAAGCTCATCTGCAGCCCTCTTGTGCGTAAGGGTCACAAACAGCATGTCATACCAGGCTTGGGGATCATTTTAAACAGTAATGTCATCAACAAAAAGCACAAAACTATGAAAAATGTGACACAAAGTAGACTGCAAAAAAAAAAAATGCTCGTTTACAGTATGAGAGCAGTAATAGGAAGGCAGAACATCATCTCCACCTCAGCTGGGAATGTGCATCTGTCTGCAACCGGGAAAGTGCTGACTCTGACTTACAAACTAATGGACTACATATTAAAGCATCACTCTGTATTATTTTAAAACAGCTCCAAACTTGCTTTTATATATATTAGATTATCCAATTTTTAGAATACACACACACGCCATAAAAAACACGAAGTAATACTGATTTATTGTTTTTAAATTAATGTATAATTTAGTGCAGATTACTACAAAGAGTTTTCTCTTTAGAGTATGACACTGAATTACTTATTCTACAAATATGCAAGGATACAGTAATGTCTCAAATGCCCAGGAAACTTCGAGACTGAGCCATTCTAATTAGTTTAATTTTCGGATTAACTGGCAACTAAACGAACAACATTTTTGTTTCACAATTGTGGGAAATCTTTCTCAAATACAAGACTCCAGCTCCTAATCAACAAGGAGATGATGAAGGGTTCTGCGATGCCTCCAGGCCACCCTATGGGGTGCAGTCACTTGACCATCAGCAACAACTGTCCAGTCTTGGAACCATGAGCCTGCAGCAGCCCACATCCAAGGGGACCAAAACCCATTTAGTCAAATTTGAAGAAATCCAAGATAACACTTTGTATTTTTTTTTTAACTGTCCTCCTCCTTCTAAAATGGTACATATTTAAAAACGAAAATCTAATGAAGAGTCACTGAGGAGAGTAAAACCTCTAGTGACTGAGGTTTTACTTCATTTACAGAAATAAAATAGAAGGGTTTTGTGCCTTTCAGTACTTACTCTCCGTTCTGAAACGCAACCACGCCAACCTCGTGCATAACAAATGGGTCTTCTGGTGCAATGCTTAGTGCTTGGCCAAAGAATCTTTCAGCCAATTTTGAGTTATTGGTCAATCCATATTCTAATCCAATGTACAGCATTGGCAAATGACACCTAAAAATATTGGAAAATTTCATATTCAACACCTAAAACTGTAATTTGGCAGAAATTAATTTATCAACTTAAATTAACCTAAGCAAAATAACTTAAACACAGCCAAAAAACAAGGTGCTTACATTTTTCCTAATACTTCATTTACTGATATTTAATCAAGGTCTAATCTAATAGGTTTTTAGACTGTTCAGCTACCACTTCTAGAATCTATCAGCAACCTACTCAACTTTATTTTTCATCATTCTACAGTAAAAACAAAAACAAAACAAAAAAAACCTCTGAAGCAGAAGGGCAGGTGTGTGCTTCCTGTTTTCTTCCACAATGCTAAGGTCAGACCCTTAGCCTTGACTGCCTTCCCTCCTCTCCTCTTCTGATTCGGCACCGTGTGTCCTTCATGACGTGTTCAATGTCAGACCCTCGGCTTTCACTGCCTTCCCTCCTCTCCTCTTCTGATTCAGCACTGTGTGTCCTTCACGACGTGTTCAATGTCAGACCCTCAGCCTTGACTGCCTTCCCTCTTCTCCTCTTCTGATTCAGCACTGTGTGTCCTTCACGACGTGTTCAATGTCAGACCCTCAGCCTTGACTGCCTTCCCTCTTCTCCTCTTCTGATTTGGAACCGTGTGTCCTTCATGATGTGTTCAAGTTCCACTTCCCTTTGTGAAATGCTTCTGACTTTCTAACCTAAATGGCTCTCCCTTGTGTGGATTCCTATTATCTCAATTCCTATCAGTTCTATGCCAGGGAGTTCAGAAGTATGTTGTGTATACCCCATTTTCACATCCTCTGAAACGGTTCTAGGCACAGAGTACGTACTAACCACTTCTTAACTGAATCTTCATCTCTTGTCAGACCAGTAATTACATTACAAGAAACAGAATATTTCTTTGAAGATGGATCTAAGAAAGTCTATAAATATGTGCTTTGGTTTTAATTGAGAATCATGATTCAGATAAAGACTCTATCACCTACAGAAGGATCGTGAAGAACCCTTTAAAAGGGTTTACCTGGAGGAAGTACTTCCAAAATGGCCAAGTAAGGATCTCCAAAACTCTCCTCCATAAAAGCAACAAGAACACTGCCAAATTATCAAAATAAACTTTTTCAAAACTTTGGAAGTTAACCAAAGGCTTACAACAATCTGAGGAGTGTTTATTCTAGAAAAACAGCTGAAGTGTGCAAAAGACACAGGGAACAATTAGCAATCTGGGGGAGGGGGGAATCAGTCAATAGAAACTGTCTGGGACAAAGACCAGATGTTGGACGTAATAGACCAACACTAATAGAAATAAATAGAAAATCTGAAAAGTAAACTAAATAAAAAAAATTCCCTAGAAGGGTTTGACATCAGTTTGAACAGGCTGAAAAATCAGTGAACTTGAAGATAGATCAACTGAGATTACCCAGTCTAAGGAACAGAAATATAAAAGAAGAAAAATGAACAGAGATTCAGAGACCTGTAGGATGCCACCAAGCACACCAAAATATGCATGATGAGAACCCCAGAAAGCAAAGGGAGACAGTAAGGGGCAGAAAGATTATTTGAAACCAAAGAATATTTGGGCCAAAAACACCCCAAAACCTCCAAGTAGGCTACTCAGAGATCCACACCTAGACAAATCATAGACCACTGAAAAAGCAACCCCCCCAATCTTTAAAGGAGAAACTACAACTAATAACACACAAGAGATTCCCAATAAGATTAACACCTGACCTCTAATCAAATACCTGGAGGCCAAGAAGGCAGATGGATGACAGTTAGAGTGCTAAAAGAAACAGAGCGCCAAGATTTTATACCCAACAAAACTATCCTTGAAAATGAAGGTGAAGTCAAGAATTTCTCAGGCAGCAAAAAGCTGAGAAATCTCGTTGCAGATTCACCTTACAAGAAATACCAAAGGAAGTCCCTCAGGCTGAAATGAAAAGGACACTAGACAGTTAACTCAAATCCCACATTAAAAAAAATAGCTTAGTAAAAGTAACCACAAAGATAAACATAGGACAATATAAATGTATTTTTGTTTGCAACTCTTTTCTTCTATCTGATTTAATAGATAACACAACAATTATAAATTTGTGTTGAGGGACTTACGATGTTTAAGATGTAACGTGTATGATAATAGCATATCAGAGGCAGGAGGGAACAGAGCTGCACGGGGTAGTTTTATATACTACTGGAATTAACTTGCTGTGGTAAAGAAATACAGGTCTTCCCCCTTGTTCTTGATACAGAGCACCCCAAACCCTCTCAATTTCCTGAGTGATGGGAGTCTCTTTTGTTATTCATGACCCCTTTTGATCAGACCTGTTTATGCTAATGAAGGGTGGGGCTCAGCAAGAGCCTTGTGATGGGACTGGTCACCAGAAGGACCAAGTGATGAGAGGGTTGCAACTTTTACCACCACCCACTGACCTCCCAGGAAGGGAAGGCCCCATAAAAACTTTTGAACAATGAGCCTCAGAGCTTCTGGGTTGGTAAAGCACAAAGCAGTGCTGGGAGGGTGGCATGCCTGGAAAGGGGGAGAAGCTGTGGGCACCCCCACCCACATAGCTTGCCCTCTGCATCTCTTCCATCTGGCTATTCCTGAGTGTATCCTTTATAATAAGCCAGAAAATATAAGTAAAATGCCTTCCCGAGTTCAGTAGGTCATTCTAGCAAATCATCAAATCTCAAGAGAGTCATGGGAACCTCTGATTCATAGCCAATCAGAAGTAAAAGTGGACTGGGGCTTACCACTGGCATCTGAAGTGGGGAGGGGCAGTCTTGTGGGACTGAGAGCTTACCCTATGAAAGGTCTGCACTAAGTCTGGGTAATATCAGAACTGAATTGACTTGTAGGACCCAGCTGGTGTCCAGAGAATCAGAGAACTGGTTATTGCTGTTGGAAAGCCCCTCTGTTGGTATTAATCCAAACTAAACCATTTTAAGATGTTAACTGTAATCTCCAAGTTAACCACTAAAAACAAAACAAAAAAACAGAAAACAACAAAAAACCACAACTCAAAAAACACACTATAAGGAAAAACCAAGGAATTAAAATGTATGTTACAAAATATCTAATACAAAAGGCAGTAAAAAGGAAGACCAAAAAACAAGTGACATAAAACAGAGCAAAATGACAAACATAAATTCTAACTTCTCAGTAATTATATAACACAAAAATGGATTAAATTCCATCAAAAGGCAAGACATTGGCAGAATGGATAATAAAACCACAATCCAACTACATGTTGTCTATAAGAGACATACTTTAGATTCAAAGACACAAACAAGTTAAAAGGATGGAAAAAGACCACGCAAACAGTAACAAAGAACTAGTGAGATTATACTAGTATCAGACAAAATAGCCTTACAACAAAATCTGTTACCAGAGACAATGAAGGATTCTATAATAATAAAAGGTTCAATCCATCAAGAACCGAACAACAGAGACCCAAAATACATGTAGCAAAAACAGCCAGAATTGGAGGGGTAAATACGAGATAATTCACATAGTAATAGTTGGGAGGCTTCAATACCCTACCTGCCATAATGGATAGAGTAATGGGCAGAAGACAAGACATGAACACTACCACCCAACCAGAACCAAGGGATTACAATGATAACACTATACCCAAAAAGAGCAGAATTCTCAAGCACACCCGGAACATTCTCTACAATAGACCATGTTAGGTCATAAAACAAGCCTCAATAACTTTGAAAGGACTATGTTCAGGCACCTGGGTGGCTCAGTCAGTTAAGCATCTCCCTTCGGCTCAGGTCACGATCTCAGGGTCCTGGGACTGAGTCCCGCATCGGGCTCCCTGCTCAGCGGGGAGCCTGCTTCTCCCTCTCCCTCTGCCTGCTGCACCCCCTACTTGTGCACTCTCTCTGTCAAATAATAAAATCTTAAAAAAAAAAAAAAATGAAAGGACTATGTTCTCCAACCACAATGGAATTAAAATAGAAACCCTAACAGAAGGAAATTTGGGAAATTCACAAATATGTGGTAATTAAACAATATACTCTTACATAACCAGTGGCTCAAAGAAGAAATCATAAAGGAAATTTTAAAATATTTACACAATTTCAGACATTTATCCAAACACAGGGCAAGTTGAGAGAATGCAAAGTTGTTCTGATGGGGAAGAACTGAAAAGAACAATGCTTATCATGATGAGCTGATTTGAAATTTCAACTGGATAAAGTTTGTTAGACTGGGAAACAGTGTCATTGGTTTTGATTCTTAGGGAGGAACTAACAAACAACTAATAACTATTCTGGGTTTGTGAGCACACAGAGGAAAAAAAAAGCACACTCTAGCCTGCACTCGTAAGAAACAACCCACGGTAAATTATGGAGATTTTTTTCCGGCCAATTTATCAGACTGATAGATTAGGGGTCCAGGTAGACATGGGAACCAAGCTTCAGCATAGCACTGGATAAAGTCTCACACATCTTGGTGGATAAACTGAAGAATCCTGAACTGGGTATCAAGGACCATTTAGGTGAATCAATAACTGGATGAACAATTTTAACCTGGAGGATTATTATTTTTTTTAAAGATTTTATTTATTTGAGGGGGGGAGAGGGGCAGAGGAAGAGGGAGGAGCAGACTCCCCACTGAGCAGGGAGCCTCAACGCAGGGCTCCATCCCAGGACCCTGAGATCATGACCTGAGCCGAAGTCAGACGCTTCACCAACTGAGCCACCCAGGCACCTCTGGAAGATTGTTTCTGTTAGTATTAGGACTGAATTTATATGTCCCCTGCCTCGACCAAATTCATCTTAAGCCCTACCCCAATGTGACTACATATGGAGAAGGCCTGTGTGGAAATAATAAAGGTTAAATGAAGTCCTAAGGGTGGGGAATGACACAGCAGGGCTGGTGCCCCTGTGAAAGGAAAGAGACCAGAGCTCTCTCCCTGCCACATGAGGACACAGTAAGAAGGGGGCCGTCTGCAAGTCAGGAAGGGCACCCTCACCAGGGACCAAATGGGCCAGCACTTTGACCAACAACTTCCCAGCCTCTCTGGAGCTGTGAGAAAATACATGTTCATTCTTCAAATTACCCAGTCTATTGCACTTTGGTTAAGGCAGTCTGAAGAGACTAATGCAGTTAGGGAGCTATTTCCTTTACAATATGTGCATGGATAACAAGTTAGATATAAAAGTCATATATACCACATCTAATAGAACTGAAAAAATCTGGGGATCATTAATAATTTAGATGCAGAACTGGGCACCAAAATAAGTCTGATAGTCTGAAAAGGGTTCAACCTAACGAGAGAACATTCAGTGCAAATGAATATACAATCCCACTCCTGAATACTATAAGCAAACAAATCAAGGTAGCTAAGCTAACTTTTACTGACTGCTCTCTGCACATCAGGTATCGTTCAAAGTCTGTAACTGGTATTGTCTCAATTACTCCTAGGATTACTCCGAGGAATAAGTACCGCGATTACACCTATTTTTCAAGAGGGTACCTACTTTGCCAAGATCATCAGGCAGTCTGACCTACTGCACTCCTACTACCTTTCCAGAAACGGAGGTGGCCCACCTAAGAGAACACTGCATAGCAGGCCTAGGGCTAGGGTTAGGGGAGTCCAAAGAGAGTGGACAGGAATAACAGCAATACTTAATACCAATATACCCAATATTGATGTAAATCTAGAACACTGGCAAATACAGTCCACTAAGCCCACAGCAAATACCTTTTGGACTTAAATAGGATATAAATAACAATTTGCATATGAACACTTTCATTCCTGCATGAGCGTGTGAGAAGGAGCTTCTATCCTCATCTCTTCCCGCAGCTTAATTTCCTAGTTCCCTCTGTATTGGTTAAGGTGAACTGCTAGACAAAATCACTACACCAGCCTCTTTCCCTCAATTTCCACAGTTATTTTACAATCACAAGCTACTAACAAGACACAAGTAAGATATTTTTGTTTAGTTCAGCACCAAATGGCGGTGGCAGTAATAACAGAATCGTCATTTTGTGGGCAAAAGCAATCCTTCGTGGATTTTACCACGTGCTCTGCCGTACCCTTTCATCAGCTGTGCGGCCGTGAAGTAGGCAGCCATGGCCTGGTCGTGCTCACTCTCCACTGCAAACGAGTGCCCGTATGCTACCCACGCAGGCCCGTAAGTCTTCTCAAGTGTTGTTGCTTTGCTGAAACAAGAGATGTCATTCTAGTCATATATGCATTCTTAAATTGTTAATCGTATATAAGCTGATGGCTTCCAGGATATTAGAATAAATGAGCTCTCAACACATTAAATACTTAAACAACAATTGTGTTAATTCATTTGAAATAAAACGATGCTTAGTAGTACAAGCAAAATTTTAAGAGAGGTCCACGGCTTTTTAGGTACAATAACCCACTGGCATCCTGTACAGAACTTAAAAATATTACTTAATCCAGAAGCTTTGTTTCCTAATGGTGGTGGCAGCAACCATCTAATGAGGCACCACGTCAGAGGCCTTATATGCATCACCTAATCCTAGTAACTTGCAAGATAAATTATTATATTTTAAAGATAAGGATACTAAGCCTGGGAAGATGAAGTGACATCCCATGGATGGTGGTAAGAGAGTCACCCTGGTTCTGCAGACTGGGCTGCACAGTCTCAAACAGCTGTAAGTAATCCCCAGTCAGAGACACACTGGTGACCCAGATCACAAAACATGGAAAACATAAAGGATGAGATTCCCATTTCCCAGCATTTTTTTTTCTTTTCTTTTTTAAAAGACTTTATTTATTTAACAGAGAGAGAGACAGCGAGAGCAGGAACACAAGCAGGGGGAGTGGGAGAGGGAGAAGCAGGCTTCCCGCTGAGCAGGGAGCCCGATGCGGGGCTCGATCCCAGGACCGTGGGATCACGACCTGAGCTGAAGGCAGACGCTCAACGACTGAGCCACTCAGGTGCCCCCAGCATTTTATTTTCTATGCTTTCTATTACTCAAATGTTCCTTGTTTCATGTGGAGTCTGTCACTTAATCAGAGCAGCATACCTTCCTACTCCACGAAAAAGCACAAGTAAGTTCTAAAATGCATAATGCTCAACTAACCAGAGAACTCCTCCCTATTTTTTTCCTAGTGAAAGATCCTTACATGTCATCCTCCTAGTTTTCCTAACAAGCCTGGGATACAAGTATTGGATCATTCCCATTTTTAAAGAAGAGAGGGTCAGAGAAATTAACTTTCCCAAGGAATTACAGCTAGTAAGTGGCAGGACTTGCATTAGAATTCAAATCTGGGTCCAAAGTTTTCCCTTAGAGCCATTTTCTATTTTGTTCACGTGGAAGAAATCAGTTATTTTAATATTTTAAATCTCTAGTAATTCTTCCCACACTAGCCATTTTTCTGTACTTGAATAATTGAATAATACTGGCTAAGGAGCTTGACTGGGCTGCATGGAGTTCCTTAAGTTAAGACCACAGCAGATCTTTATATAAACCAGTTCACTATGCCAAGAATTCTGTTCTACAGTCACATTTAGTGATCCTAATCTCAGGTGGTTTCACGTAATTTTACAACTGTTAACAAAAAACGTCCTAAAAAGTTAATAGCATCTCCGTAAATGAAAACAGGTTTCAAATTACATTATTATGTTTCATATTTCTCATTTATAAATAGAATTTAAATATATCATAAGTTCTTAAAAAAGGTACATTAATTGATACAACTGAACTGAATCTGCTAAAGAAATCATTCTTTCATACTGCTTTTAAATTACTATTGTATTAAAAAGGATGAAGAAGAGGGCGCCTGGGTGGCTCAGCTGGTTAAGCGACTGCCTTCGGCTCAGGTTATGATCCTGGAGTCCCGGGATCGAGTCCCACATCGGGCTCCCTGCTCAGCAGAGAGTCTGCTTCTCCTTCTCACCCTCCTCCCTCTCATGTGCTCTCTCTCTCTCTCATTCTCGCTCTCTCAAATAAATAAATAAAATCTTAAAAAAAAAAAAAAAGGATGAAGAAGAAATCATTTCCTATAGGCTTATTATAGAGAGAAAAAGACAACAGATTCATACCTGAGATATCTTCTGGCATGTTCATTTTTATGACCAACCATGAGATAGTAGCATCCCACTGCAAACCAAGACACCTACAAAGTTCAAAATTTATTGTGACCAAAGATGCTTAACTTGGAACTGGAAATCTCTAACATATTAGGCCAGAAAGTGGACTAGATGTCCCATCACATGTTCTAGCTCAAGTTATTCTAGTTCAAGTTAGAAACTTCTGAGACAGGCTATTAAGTCCTAGATGAAAAAGAACAGGTTCTTCCTCAGTGTGCCTTCAACAATGTCCCTGCAGCATTCAATAGAATATGAGGCTCCTAAACACTTAGTTCAAATGCCAGCCTGCATCGTGTCTTCCCCGGCTTGACCCTGGCTCTAGCAGGTACTAACCAGGATCGACCTCATCAGCTGACTTCTCTTGCACTGGTTTTGCCTCTTTCTAAATTATTTTCACACTAGCCTAGGGTACAGATTCTTGTGTGAGCCTTAGGCCTTGATCCCTGACTTCTGTCTCTAAGACATAGTTCCTGATTCCAGTTTCAATTTCTGGGTCCTGGCTGTGATCCACAGCAGTGTGGGAGACACAAGGATTCAATCACTACACAGTTCAGTAAGGTATCTTACACATGCAACATGAAAAAGCATTATTCCCAAGAGGTGAGAGTATGACTTTCACTTTTAACATTTTTCAGTATGTCAAGTATTCTAAAATAAGCATATATAATTTCTACAAGCGGAAAAAAAGGATTTTTGTCTTAAGCTATTGTTTGAAGATACTTAAAAAAAAAAACCTTCATGGACTGAAAAACAACACTGCTTCTAATTATCATAGCACTAGGAGGTTCTCCTCCAACACCTTGAAATAAAACATTATTTGCTTGAACTTAAATATAAGCTACTATGTAAACACCAGTTAAATACTTTTTTAAGGTTCAGAAAAAAAACAACAAAACAAAACAAAAAAAACACCCTAGGAAAAAAGGCATACATTTACTTACAGGATTACTAGGATATAGATCCACCAACTTATGAGAAAGATAGAAAAGTTCTACATTAGAGAAAAAGAAAAAAAAAACAATTATATACAATGAATTTTAAGATATGACTTTCTTCCAGTTACAACTCTCCACAATCACATAGATTTTGTTCTCACAGTAATTTCATAATTTTCTTTCTACCTAATGAAATATACAAGCTGCACAGGGCAGTTGCTACAGCTGTTTCATTCACCTCCCCCACCCCCACTCCTGACCCCGTAAGTGGGTGCTGAGTGCTTCTAAGTGGCTGGAAAACCGGAGGAGTGGCACATGACACAACATCTCATGGTGCTTAAGAAGTAATGTCACAGCTCTTCACCTATCTTAAAAACTGATGTCTCCGACTCCATGGGCTTATTATGGATCATCTTAACCACCCACAACCAATTTGAGTAACCAAACTTCCAAGTTTATCAAATCAGCAAGATGATTTCTTCTTGAGTAAATAATGTGGAAGTCCTAACACGCCCTGATGACGTTTCCTACGTGCAGACTTGGACTCATTAGACCAGGACAGCCAGAGTGACTGCATCCACAACAAGCTCCGGGAGATGTGATGCTGCTGGTCCGCAGACCACATTTTGCGCAGCAGGGGTTTGGAACTGGAGTGTCTGGCTTTTTAAACTCCTGACAGAGTTCACTATTCAGTTTAAAAGATTTAAGGGCAAATATCATCCAAACATAACTGAATGTTTCTGCAATGTTAAAATATGAAAAGCACAAGCAAAAAAAATCTATCCCCCTCCAGTTTCTAAACAGTTACTGCCTGCTGTCTTATCAATTTTCTTATGGATTCTACAAAAAAAGGAAAAACGGAAAAACTGACCCTCAGTACTCTAAAGCTTATGTAACCTAAATCACAAACTACATTTGAGAAAAGGAGGCAGGGATAAAGAAACAGTGTTCTGGTCACATAACAGAATTGACCCTCAGTCATTTGGATAAGCCTTTCTTACCCTACCTATTACTTTTATTGGAGAATTCCATTATGTTGTCACCTGCAATCTCAATAATCCAGAATTTAGGAGACAAAATTTCCAGAGTTACAGAAATTTTTTTTGTCTTAAAATTATTATTATTTCTTTAGGGGCAGCCGGGTGGCTCAGTCGTTAAGCGGCTGACTTCGGCTCAGGTCATGATCCCAGGGTCCTGGGTTCGAGCCCCACATCGGGCTCCCTGCTTCGGTGGGAAGCCTGCTTCTCCCTCTCCCGCTCCCCCTGCTTGTGTTCCCTCTCTCACTGTGTGTCTCTCTGTCCAATAAATAAGGATTTTATTTATTTATTTGCCAGAGAGAGAGAGAGTCCATGCACAAGCAGGGGGAGCAGCAGGAAGAGGGAGAAGCAGGCTCCCCAACGCAGGGCTTAATCCCAGGACCCTGGGATCATGACCTGAGCCAAAGGCAGACGCTTAACCGACTGAGCTACCCAGGCACCCCTCAACAATTATTATTTTATTTGTTGTTTTAAGTAGGCTCCACACCCAGTGTGGAGCCCAACACAGGGCCTGAACTCACAACCCTGAGATCAAGAGCTGAGTCAAGAGTTGGATGCTCAACCAACTGAGCCACCCAGGCGCCCCAACAATTATTATTTTAATTTAAAAAAAAATTTTACCATTTGCTTTATTCAGCTCCACAAGTGTCCCTATATGTACAGGTAAACAGTTTGCATGGAAAGGATCTTTCTCCATTACTCTGAAAGTCAAAGCAACACATTTACTACACCAGCAACAGTATATAACAGAACATAACTCATTAAAATTAGATATGTCTAAATATTCATTACAGCATTATTTAAAATACTGTGGGTTATGATACTTCACTTTTTAATTCATCTTCAGGTTGGCACAGTTAAGGTAATGATTATCTTATAAATGAAAGGGAAAATTCTGGTTTATCTGTTAGGAATAAAAAACACTATCACACATATTTATTTCAAATCAATAGAACTATTAACACATAAAATAAGGAATCCATTTATTTAGAAGAATTAAAAACAATATGAAATATTAAACAGATCATAAGCATTTGTCAATTAAAATTTTTGTGAAATCAAGGATTTTAAGCAACCCCAAAGATCTGTTAAAAATAGCACGTGTGCTCACTTCAACGGCACCTACATTAAAAACAGCCTATGTAATTTAGCTAAGAGACAAGTTTGAATCGTGTGCACTTGAAAACTAGTATAGGAGATGGCCTGGCTAGTTAGTGAGCCTGACTGAGCACCCAGTATCTAGAGGATTTTACCAGTCCCTACTTTAACAAAGAATGGATTTTGTAAGACTACATGTCAGAATGATATTTTCAAACTTGCAAATTATAAAAGACAGATGAGGGGCATGTCTATTCCCAAGGTAATGGAATAAAGCAACAGTGTGCATAAACCTGTGTCTGTAAACTTTTAAGACAAGAATAACCTCTCTAGTACTCTGCAAAAGGTAAAGGCAACTTAAATTATCACCAATTAGTTCAAGATTACTCAAAAAGCAGTCCCACACCCTTCTTAGGTAAAATGGGACTGGACTCTATGCTCCTACACAGAAATGAGTAGATATACTTACACAGAAGTAAGCTTGTAGCACATTTTAAAATCACAGTTATAATAATGTCTTTCAGCTAAAGACACTACCACATCCAGATTCTCTTGCAAACCATCTACAGACTCGGGGAGGACAGTTTCACTAGGTTTATTATACTGCAACAGAGAAAGGTAAACATGAACTCAGGGAGCAGCACAAATCAAAGTGGCAGACTCGATCTGGTCCAAGGGCTTGGGTTTGCACAGGGCAGGTGTGAGCCTCCGGAAGCTCTAACTTCCTGTCTCATCTGTCCTCCTCTCAATTAGCTCAACTCTCAATTTTATCACGGAATTCCAGGAAGAAGTATTTTACAAATTACAAGCTCAGAAAGTATAAGAAAAAATCCTCATTTTCATACATCATCATCCCATTTATGTGACAGTTCAATCTTTTAGTATAAAAGGATTTCTTAGGAGAAAGACATGTTTTTGGAAGCTTTTTTAGGAATCCTATCATATATTTTAAGTAATCAATTTTTTCTTGCAAATGTGCTAAATTAATAAAAATTAACTTAAAAATTTAACTAGTAACAGAGGCCAAATTTAGTGAAATATTTACATAAAGCAAATGCTATGTTTTTACTTACCTTTTTTAATTTGTTCTCAAAGAGAAAGCGTAGCAATTCCTGTTCTTCAGTACAGAGCTTGCTAAGAGGTAGTGACTCAAGAAGTTCTTTTTCTTAAAAATGTTAAGAAAAAAGAATATCCTCACAATATTTATGGGGGAAAAGACATCAGCAATAAAAAGTATTCTTCTATAATTCTTAGTCTAAATAAATCAAACTCAGAAGAGAAAATAACAAGATCAAAATGTACTAGAAAAACTAAGACAGTGGTTCCAGACCCAGGTGATGAGAACTACCTGGAGGGCTGAGCCATGAAGCCTTTTAGGCAACGCTGGTCATCACCAGATGCAAGAAACTAACTGGCAGGTTTCCCAATCTCACTCTGTGTGGACAATTCTAACATGATGGCTGTCCTAAGCACCACAGGATGGTAAGCAGGATCTCCGATCTCTATCCATTAGATGCCAGTAGCAGGCTCGCACTCCCATGCCCAATTTGTAAAAATGAAAAATGTCTGTAGGGGGCAAAATCAACCTGGCTGAGAACCACTGCACTAGGGCTAAACTATGCTTGAACCCCATTAATACAACATCTCTACTTTCTCTCCGTTTCTTGCATGAATCCCCCTCACATTACAGCTCACATACTAGGTCTATGGTTCTGAGCCCTAGCTGTACCTTAGGGTCATCTGAGAGCTTTAAAACATGTGATGCCAGGGCCCCACCACCAGATTCTGTTCCCCTTGTCTGGAGTTGGGAGCTGCACACTGATGTTTTTAAAGCCCCTCAGGGCTCTGAGCTGCAGCCAGGTTGGGTGCCTCTGAATCAGATCCTGAGAACTCAGTTTATACTACCTTAAGTCACTTCTCCAAAAGATGGTCTCAACCCCTAAAGATTCTGATAGCAAGGGGCACTGTACACTACTGTCCTTCGCAATGTGCTCCACATTTGAAGACACTAAGGAAGTGAATAGGTCTATTTAAACCTACACATACTCTGCTCGATTCTACAGATTTCAGAGGAAAAAAATTCCAAACAATATTAATTGTGCTAAACATGAAAACACCTGAGTTTCCAAACCTTCTTGGGCTGTCAACATGTGATGTGATGTTAAAAGATCAAATGCTTCAAAACAGTAGGCATCGAGCTTCAAAGCTTCTTTGTAGCTATAGGTAGCTAGAGCTCGGTTATCCAGGGCATCGTAGATCTTCCCTCGTAGGAGACAAATAGAACTCTTTATCTGTTGGAAAAATGATGAGTCACACACTAAATCAATACTTCTAAACTTAACTTTTGATCAAGAATTATATATTATCTGGGGCACCTGGGTGGCTCAGTCGCTTAAGCGTCTGCCTTTAGCTCAGGTCATGATCCTGGAGTCCCAGGATCGAGTCCCACATCGGGCTCCCCGCTCAGTGGAGAGCCTGCTTCCCCTTCTGACCCTCCCCACTCTCGTGCTTTCTCTCTCTCGCAAATAAATAAATAAAATCTTTAAAAAAAAAAGGGAATTATATATTATATGAAGACTGAGACTCTTAACATCTAAAAGGATTTGTTCCATCCCAACTGTCAGATGGTATAAATTAACAGAAACAGGAAAGCAAAGTAAAACTTCTCTAATCCATCTCTCCTAGGCTCTTCTCATTTCAACAATCTTTATAGAGCATGTGTCACTACTACTTTGTTCCTTATCTGTTCTGTTTCAAAGAGGGAAATGATTTAGATAGCAAACAGCATACAAATATTAAAACTCAGTTTGACAGGCAGATCTCAATGAAAGGATCTTAATTAATATTGGAAAATGCAGCAACATAGCACAATGGTCATGGATTTGTAGGACTGGACAGATCTGAGTTCAAATCCCAGCTCTAATGCTTACTAGTGACCCCAGACAAGTTTCCTTCCCACATCTAACTTACAAGGCCCTGAGAACTAGAGGTGATAGTTCTCTGCATAGCTAGTACACGTTACGGTGTTCACACAGTCGCCACCGCACTACTACCATTAACAAGAGGACAGAGTAATCCAACTTATATTCCAGAATCTGACCCTCAAGAAACATGTAACTAAACTTATAGATGATCCAGAGACAGGCAGCTAAAACGGGTAAACGGCAAAGAAAATTCATAAGAAAATCCAAACTTAAAAATATGAGAGGATATAACAAGCGAACCTTAGACCTATTCAGTACCCTATGACTTGTAAAAAAAAAAAAAAAAACAACAGTAATTTCATAAAATAATAACATATTACAAATAAACCATGCATTTCTTAGCAGGTAAATTAATGGATAAGCAGTCCAAAAATAATAATGGTAACACCAAGCTCCCTCATAAACACCTTTCTTAGCAGAAAAACAAATGTGCTTCTTAGCACATAAGTAACAAGAAGGCTGTTAAAAAAAAAAGAAAAAAAGAACAGTTCAGATTAGTAATCTGTCTGTGAATACTATGTGACATTATATAATCTCTGCCAACAAGGAACTTGTAATTTCAGGCAGATATGAAGTATACAAACTGAAATATCAAAATGACATAAATAGTTAGCACCAACCACTCCCTGGAAAGAAGCAAACTAAGGTAATCAAGGTTTCATGGAGTAGGTGTTGCAACACAGTAAGATGGGGAAATGTTACTCCACCCGCAGGAGTAGTTTAAGGTGTCAAATAGGAGAAGAAAGATCTCAAGTCAGCCTATTTCAGATTCAAGCATATGAGGACATAACTACAACTTCCAACTAAGGACTCAGAAATGTCTTGGAATCTTTTTGTGTTTCAGTGGCAAGTAAGTTGGGAACCAAACTGTTCTAACATGTTTATACTCAAATAAAAGGTGATTTATGTTTGCCATGTCATGGGAGTAATTCTTACTGATGTTACTGAAGCATGCTTACTGCAGCATGACTTACCGAAGACTGTGACATTTCCCAGTCACTGGAGGGGTCTTTCAAGCCACTTTCATCCTTCAAGTATTTCTCAAATAACCTTTTGTTGATTGGCTCCTCCATATCAAGAATATCAAGAGCCTGCTGATGCTCTTTTGCAGCATACTGTGTAAAAACCAGAAATACTGTTCATCACCCATGACTTCTAACACCAGATATACACACAAGTACTGTAGATTTTAAAAAGGTAATAAAATATCATACTCACTCCTTACCTAAACTTAAAATGTAGAGTTTAAAATTTTAAATTCTAAAGCAGAATTTTCATGCATGGTCAGATTCCAGTAAATGGAGAATCAATATTTTATAGCAAACAATACTAAAGAAAAGACCATTTCCTCATGAAATACTTTACTAATCTGCCAAGCTCGATCACCAGAATCCTTACACATATGTAAGGGATGTATAACATTCACATAATTAAACTTTTACCAAAGAAAACTGAAACTGAGAGCATACTTACATGGCATCTAGCTGCAAGGTAGCGACATGCTTCATATAGCTAGGAAAGAAATTATTAAAAAAGAGATCAAGACAATATATACCCTCATTCTAAAAGTAAACTACAAGCATAAAATGAAGAAAGCTACTTTCATAATTTGTCCTTTTACTCTTGCAGAAAACCCAAATCCAGTCTTTTTAACTCATACTCATCTTGGATCTACTGTTTACTAGGCACCAAGGATTCAAAAAAGAGTAAGGAGGGGCGCCCGAGTGGCTCAGTTGGTTAAGCGTCTGCCTTCTGCTCAGGTCATGATCCCAGGGTCCTAGGACTGAGTCCTGCATCAGGCTTCCTGCTCAGCTGGGAGTCTGTTTCTCCCTCTGCCCCGCACCGCCCCACCCCCACTCATGCTTGTGCACACCACTCTCTCCTCTCTGAAATAAAATCTTTTTTAAAAAAGGTACAATAAAAAAATAAAATGGTTAAAAAAAAAAAAGTAAGGATCTGCCCTCAAGGAGGTTATGGCAGGAAGACATAAACACAGCACTATGTAAGACATAAACTACATAAACTCTGAAAGAAGGACATGAGAAATACTGGCCAGTTAAAGAAAACATGTGCAAGGGAGAGAAAAGTGAGAGGTTGGCCAGCATTCCAGACACTGAACATGAACAGCTACCACATGTCCAAGGGACTGCAAGTAGTCAGCATGACTAAGGTGTGTGTAACATGTACTGGTGGTGGTGCTGGGTTCCACATAGACTGCAGAGAAATCATAAAGGAACTTTGGTGTCTACTGATGCATTTGATTTTACCCTGTAGGTTATAGGAGATCACTGAGTGACATTGTGAGTGCTATCATCAGGCCTGTGTTTGGGAAGATTACCCTTGTGATAGTTTGTTTGTTTATTTATTTGTTATTTATTTGACAGAGAGAGACAGAGCGAGAGAGGGAACACAAGCAGGGAGAGTGGGAGAGGGAGAAGCAGGTTTCCTGCAGAGCAGGGAGCCCGATGTGTGGCTCCATCCCAGGACCCTGGGATCGTGACCTGAGCCGAAGGCAGACACCAAACGACTAAGCCACCCAGGCGCCCCTACCCTTGTGATAGTTTAAAAGATAGTTAAAGAGAGGGAAGGTAGAATGGGAAAGATGTTACTAGAGAAAAGAGACAAAAGGCTAAAACAAAACAAATTAAAGACCTGACACGTATGAGCAGTAATGAGATGGAAAGGAAGATCCATTATTTCAGAGTTATTTAGAAAACAGAATTTTCAAAACTTAGTAACTAGATTGGGGGGGCAAAAGTGACTGAGACTTTGAATAAGAAAATTTCTCTTTACATTCAATAACAAAAACTGAATCCTTCTAAATAATTTTGACATTTAATCCAATAACAATTTAAAAAGCTTTAGGAACCTTTAAAGTTCACACAAACACTTACTTTGTCCAGTTTTCGTGACCGAAGTGCATGAGCTGCTCTATGATATTGTGCTGTTAGGTACAGACACTGAGCCAACCAGTAAATGTCCTGGGGTTCCTCTGGAAGGAAAAAACACACATAATGGTCTGAGGTACAAGGAAAAATAGAAAGGTTTTTAAAATACAGAAATCAGAAAAAAAATTAGAAGTTGTCACTTACCATGAGAGAGTGAAGCTACTTTATCTGCCCAAAATAGAGCACTTTGATACTGTTGCTGTATTTGGGGGAAAAAAAAAGTAACTGCTGTTATTTCAATAGTTTTAAACAGATATCTAATATTATTAGAATGCTATATAGTAAACCAACATCTTAATATAATAATTGTTAACATGTGGCAGGGGTCTACCAATCATACCTCCATTTTTACATCTCAGCTAGGTGAGTTTTGGTTCAGTGGTACAATAAAAACATTGTTGTAAGATCTTTGATATATACAGTTCTCAAGGAGGTAGGATTTCTTTTTAAACTTATACATTGGAAAAATGCTATCAGCAGGTACCTAAAACACTAGAAAATTAAACAATTCTTTTGCAGTATCTCATTAGCAGTGGTTCTCAGATCTTGAATGAATGCAACTAGGAACTCTGTTGCCCGTCAATCTGGGAAGAGGAATGCTTAGGGAATGGTTACAAATCTGCTCACTCTAAGTGCCCAAAGGGTGGAAACCAGGCCTGTCTCATTCCTCACTAGTCCCCAGGGCCAAAGAGAAAGTGCTCAGGGGCATCTGTTCCGTTCAAATGACTTACCAAAATACAACCCTCCAATATACTGCAGGCATCTGGCAGCATCATTTCACATCCATTCTGAACATTTCATATCAAATATGCTTTTCCCTCCCCTTCTTGGTTTCCAACTTATTTGGAGAGTATAAGCTTTACAAAAACTAAGTGACCTTGCTGATTCTGGAGTCATTTCTTAAACACTACTGTTCATTCAAAGGCAGCGCAGATATAGTTAACATGACTTTAAAAGCACTGACTCGACAAAACACGATTATCTACCTTTTCTTAAGTTCTGCCAAAAAGAATTACAACTACACTTCTTAAACATTTTCTATCAACCAGCTAAACTCAAAGACCACCCTGCAACTTTCCTCCTACAGCGATCCTCCCACTTCCACTGAGCACCCACTCGGCGCCCAGTTAGGCGGCTGCAGAGCGGGGTTCTGAGCACGTGTGAGGCTCGCGGGGCGCCTAGGTGGTGTCCACTCCAGTGTTTCTCATCCTCCCAGCTGCACGGAGTGCTGGGGCGGGGGGGGGGGTTCACCCCTCCCTTCGGGGGCTTTACCCTAGGGCGAAGGCCCAGGCCCGGCCGGACCAAGCGCCACCAAGACCGCGACGACAGTTCTCCCCCGCGGGCCAGCGCTCGGAGCGGGCTTGCCTCCCGAGCCCCGGAGCCCGCGCTCCCCGGGTCGGGCCGCCCACCTGGTCCAGGTACTGTCGGACGCGCTTCCGCAGCCGCTCCAGGTTCATGGCCGCGCGGCCGAGGAGTCCGACCGAGCGGCGTCCGCAGCCACGGCGCGAGCCCTCCTTCCCGCCGCCCGCTGGGCCCACCCGGAGCCCGCGCCGCAGCCGCCCGCACCCGGTCCGACTCCGCCCAGCCCCGCGCACCACCCGGGATCTTCCGCTCCCGGCCAGACCCCGCCCCGGAAGTCCTCCGCAAACAAGTCCCCTCCGGCGCCGGAACCCGGCGTTGTGCCGTCGGTTCCGAGGCGTTCTCTTGGCGCTTGGGTTGCCGGCGGTTTGGCACCGTGGACGCTTTTCCCTCCCACTCAGGGTCCCAGGTCGCGCGGCGCGTCGTTGTGTCCGTGCGCCGTTCACTCATATGCTGGTCCGGGGGCGGGGGGGCGGGGGGCGCTCAGGGCGGGCAGCGGGGCGGCCGCAGACGGGCTTGGGGCGTAGGCGACGCCGCCGGCCTCCGAGGGCTGAGGCCGAGTCCCGGCGCGCCGCTGGGGTCGCCGCGTGTCCCCGTGACGCTGTCTTGCGGCAGAAGCCGCAGGCAGAGGGAGCTGTGACCAAAAGCCAGTAAGACCTACAGAGGCTGGCCTACTGAGACCGAATCCGTACCCTGGAACGTTGTTGTGCCGACGAGGACGCGCCTTCCGCTGGGCAGGGACCCCCTGTCCGTGCTTCCCTTCCACGGGCGCCCCCACTGACCAAACTCCGCTCGGCGTCCCCCGAATCCCTCTTTCAACCACACCCGACTTTGGGACTTCCGCGTTCCGTTCTGCATTGTCCCATTTTGGCAAGAATCCCCCACCCTCTGTGTGTGCTCACCCCTGATTTATGAGCAAATTCCTGTATCCTCCCCTGCATCCTCCAGTTGCTGTCTGAGCACCCTGGCTTGCCTTCAGCAAGAATCCTGTTAGGTCAGTTTAGACAGAACCCCCCCCATGTTTCCTCTTAACACTTTTCTATTCAGAGACCCCCGCCCTGTTCCTTGGCTATGAGTTCCCACTTGCCTGTGGTGCATTCAGAGTTGAGCCCAATTTCTTGTCCCCACCGCGGATTTCCACCACCAGTGGTCCCTCTACTTGTGGTGATAGCTCCCCTACCTTGAATAAAATCTTCTTACCATGCTTCGACGAATGTCAGTTGAGTAGTTTTTTTCTTTAACACCATGTATATGAAATATAGTGGTTGTCAGGGGCTGGACTGAGGGCTGGGCTTGGGTAAATGAGATCGCTGGGGATTACCACAATGATCTAAAATGGATTGTAGTGATGCCTGCATGACTCTGAATGAACTAAAGGCCGTGAACTGTTCACTTTACATTTTACAGTATGTAAAATAGAGCTCAATAAAACTGTAAAACTTCTTTGACCTCAGAGAGTTACCTCACAGAACAACTTGAGGTAGTGCACAAAACTTTTTTCGATCTATTAGAAGGAAACAGGTGTGTAAATACGAAAGTGCAGTGAACAAGTACAAAGATGCGTGACTCAGGAAGGAGTGGAGGGACCACGAGGGAACAGTCAATACTACCCAAGTGAAAACTGGGTGACACATAAGTGATGAAAATGGAGGTGATAGAAGCTGAGCCTTTCCTCCTCATAACGAAGTTAAATTTTTTGAACAAAGACAATGCATTCTCATTACCAAAAAAAAAATGTAGATGGATGAACCACAAATGAAGTCAAAAGACAAGAAATAAATTGGAAACCTACCATAAGATACTAATTTCCTTTAGATGTAAAGCCACTATAAAAAGACCAATGGCTCGGGTTGCCTGGGTGGCTCAGTCCATTGAGTGTCTGCCTTCGGCTCAGGTCATGATCCCGGAGTCGGGACCCAGCCCCCGCGTTGAGCCCGGCATCAGGCTCCCTACTCAGTGGGGAGCCTGCTTCTCCCTCTCTCTCTGCTCCGCCCCCCCACTTGTGCTCTCTCTCTTGCTCTCTCACTCTCTCAAATAAATAAACAAAATCTTAAAAGACCAATGGCTCAAGAATTAAAATGGGCAAATGACTGAAAATATGTTTCATAGGGAAAGAAATGCAAATAGATTCTAAACATGAAAGAAAGCTCAACTTCATAATAAAAATTAAAATTATAGTAGGGTGTCACTTCTTATACATCAGCAAAGATCAAAAAGATTGGTGACACTTTGTTGGCAAGAGTGTGGGGAAACAGGCTCTCTCATATATTATTTTTGTGGGTGATGTTGGTATATCATCCATGGTGAACAAGATGGAATGTCTTCCAAAACTATACATACTCTGCCCTCATGTTTCCATTTCTAGAGATACATTTTGCACATGTGCAGAATGACCTGCTTTATGAGGATAGTCATTATAGCACTTTAATAAAGGACACTTTAATAACCTGACAGGAAATCGATTCAAGAAGTCACAGTGTACTCACATAGTGGAATACCATGCAGCTATTTAAAAGAACAAGGCAGGGGTGCTGACTGGCTCAGTCAGAAGAGCATGCAACTCTTGATTTCAGGGTCGTGAGTTCAAGCCCCATGTTGGGTGTAGAGGTTACTTAAAAATAAATAAACTTTGGGGCGCCTGGGTGGCTTAGTCATTAAGCGTCTGCCTTTTGCTCAGGTCATGGTCCCAGGGTCCTGGTTTCAAGCCCCACATCGGGCTCCCTGCTCCGCGGGAAACCTGCTTCTCCCTCTCCCACTCCCCCTGCTTGTGTTCCCTCTCTCACTGTGTCTCTCTCTGTCAGTTAAATAAATAAAATCTTTTTAAAAATAAATAAATAAACTCTAAAATTAAAAAATAAAAGAACAAGGCAGTTCTGTGTACGGATATGGAACAATCTCCAACATATATTAAGGGGGGAAAAGCAAGGTATAGGAAAGTGTTTCTCATATGCATCCATTTGGGTAAAATAGGAAACTAACTAAAGAATAGGTCAGAAGGGGGCGCCTGGGTGGCTCAGTCGTTAAGCGTCTGCCTTCGGCTCAGGTCATGGTCCCAGGGTCCTGGGATCGAGCCCCGCATCGGGCTCCCTGCTCGGCGGGAAGCCTGCTTCTCCCTCTCCCACTCCCCCTGCTTGTGTTCCCTCTCTCGCTGGGTCTCTCTCTGTCAAATAAAAAAAAAAAAAAAAAAGACTAGGTTAGAAGATCCTTAAACTATCGCTTGGAAGACAAATCAGAAAACTGGCCACAGTGCAATGCCTTCTGGGATAAGCCCTGGAAGCTCTGAGAGGGGCTGTGAGAGAGGACTTTCCCTGGGTATCTTCTTGTGCCCCTTGAATTTCAGATCATGTCATATATTACCTTTTAAAGGTAGATAAAACCTTTATAAATATAAAAGCCTAAGAAAGAAAGAAAATGCAGAGAAATGAACAGAAAAGTTCCTAAAAGAATCCTATCCACTCAAAAATTCTTTTCTTAGCACTTCTGTGAGTGATCTGCCATCTCCTTTTCGATGCATACACATCCACTGGTAACACATTGCAATTTCTTCTCCTGTATCTTTCCCTTCCCTTCACCTTTTCCCAGAAACAACCATTGTCAATTATTGCTGAACACTTCATACTCGCCTTTCTGTGCTTTGAATGTATATATACATATTTACAAATATCTCTCTTTTTCTTTTCTACAAAAAAGGGATGATGTAATATGTAATTATTCTGAGAATTGCCTGGTTCACTGCTATACATTAGAGATCTTTCCCTGTCAGAACCTGCTTTGTTCTTTTCAACAACTGAAAAATGTTTCATGTTATGTTCATCAGACCAGGCTCTGGGATATGATGCTACACAAACTAATGCTTCAGATCACACCTGAATGTCTGTGATGGTTAATTTCATGTGTCGATTAGACTGGAACATGGGATACCCATATCTTTGATCAAACATGATTCTGGGTTTGTTCGTGAGGTGTTTTGGATAGAATTAATATTTGAATCTATAGACTGAGTAATGCAGATTGCCCTCTCCCAATGTGGGCCTCATCTAATCCATTAAAGGCCTGAACAGAACGAAAAGGTAGAGGAAGAGAGAATTTGCTCTCTGCCTAACTGCTTGAGCTCAGACAATCATTGATCTTCTGCCTTGGGACTCAGACTCAGACTGGAATTCACAACATTGGGCCTTCCAGGTCTCCAGCTTGCCAACTACAGATCTTGGGACTTCTCAGCCTCCATAACTTCATGAGCCAATTCCTTATAATAAATCATATATGTACACACACACACACACACACACACACACACACACTCCTCTCTCTTATTGGTTCAGTTTCTCTGGGAAACAGATTAATACAGTGGCCATTTCATTTAGGAAATGTTTGAGCTCCCCAAGTTGGGCTTATGTGTCCCTCATATACTTTTTAGTAACACTGTATTTTCCTCATAGAAATGTGATTGTAATTGCCTGTTCATTTTTCCATATCACCCTGTAGTTTGTGTGTTCCTTAAAGGCAAATACTGTGGGAGAACATGAGGAGAGGAAAATAAACAGAATTTCCTCTATTAATCAAACCACACTTGGGCATTCAAACATTTGGCAGAGTTCTAATTTTGTTCCTAATCTTCAATTAGTACCTGAAATGAGTCTCACCAGACCAGTGTCACAGTTTGGCAGGGTTGCTTTCTGTCTAGAGGATCTAGGGAAGAATCCAATTCTTTGGCTTTTCCTGATTCTAGAGGGAAAAGCATGGCTTGCTTTTCGATCTTCCAATCTCTCTCTGACTCTGACCTTCTGGCCTCTCTCACTTATGATGACCCTTGTGATTACAGTGCACTCACCCCAAATAACCCGGCATACTTGCCTTATTTAACAACCTTAACTTAATCACGTCTGCAAAGTCCTTTGTGCCATTTGGGGTAACATTCACTAGGTCAGGAATTCGGTATCTTTGGGGCTGTTATTCTGCCCTCCACGCTAACCAAGTCAGCGACCCAAAAGCATGCCTTTATTACAAGAGTAAGAAAATACGGGTGGATCAGAGAAAGCCCACCCTTCCTACATGAAACCAGCTCAAAGTACATGGACCACCCCTCCCAGGATCATCTCATCTCTTT